TATAGTTTGGAACATAACTTGCATATAATTCTTCATTTTGATTGAGTTTGGTCAGTATGTCAAGTTTGACAATAATAAATTTCTATACATTTGTTTGTACAACCTTTTTTCTTTTGCTATATGTTTTTTCATATTTGAAAAGACGATTATCTATGGACATATGTCTCACATATTTGGTAGAAAGATATCTGAATGGTCATTAGGTTAGGGATCAGCGGATGAAGATCAGCAGACATTTTGACAAGAAATCTCACGACAATTTTTTATTGTAAGAGAAATCTTACGATAAAACTCCTTTTCACGAAATATCTTAAGAAAATCTAAAAAAAAGGTGTTCCCTTTCGTAAGTGTAATTATTTATCTTAATAGTAAAATATCACATATCTTTTATCTTAACAGTACTAAAACAAACATAAAATTGAAGGACAAATGTAAAATATTTATGCAAACAGTATGTTATAAATGAAACAAATTAAGTAAAATATATTTTTCAATGTAAATATTGTGACGTCAAAATTTGATGACATCATAATGGAGAGTTTTATAAATAGTTTATATGTGAACTCTGTTTCTGGAAGCCTAAAATTTTTTAGAACTAATGTTTTATGCCATTCGTGGGTAAGATTTCACTGCCAACATGTAGATTATGTATTAGATAAAGTTCAATTGGTAATTTCCATATTTTTATTCTACATCATCACAAGTCATAGCAATTACTTGCAAACTTATATGTTTCACAATTGTAAAATGTCAAGAATCTGTCAAGTTATATAACTGTGTTTACATTTATTTTGCCAATAAAATCAAACAAACAGAAGTAAGCAATATAACAGTATATGTGATAATTCGAGCTTATTGTATTGATATTACATATTTATTAATGGATTGCATATTCAAAGCAACAATTTTATTACCTCCTCCATGACTGTATGAATTAGGTTGCTGACATTGAACCATTTTTCACTCACTGCTGTGAATTCTGACCCTAACATGAACTTCAAATACATACTTGTAAGAATGTTTTCCACTAATTCTTGAAATCACACATACGTCACCAATTTACTTAATAAATCACTGTTTTTTTATGTAAAACCCTTTATGACTTAAAACCTACCCACACAGACAAAAAGAACATTTTTGGCCATCTTAAAGCTGCATGCCTCCATATGAGCCAAAATATTTTAAGAAAATCTTGAGATATTTATTTTAAGATTTTAAGAAAGGTATCTGAATTCAATATTCATGTAATAATTAACATGTTAAATGTGATTAAAGACTGATCTTCCAGTATTTATCTGAATATTTTTACTCTGTGACTAATAAAGCAAGGTTGTTTCTTTGTGCATATTTGGACCTCTTTGGTATTTAAAGTGCCGATTGCAATGTGTAAATTAAGTTCAAAAATCTTACAAAATATTACTTTCAAATGCATTTTCAAACATTTCATGAACATAGGCATGAACTTGGAGGCGAGCTACTTTAATGTCAATATGACATGAAACGTTAGTCATCGCTGATATGTTTTCTACAATTTGCGAATTTCTTTTAGTTGAATTCTTTAGAAATTTGATCAGTATTTGTAAGGATTATGTATGATTTGAATCTTCATTTCAAAAACAAACAAAAACAGCTCAGACGAAAATTCCAGGCATGTTCTGCCTACCAATCGTAAAATATCCTACGGCCTTCCGTTAATAGTGTATTCCCAACTAGCTGTTTATAAGCGAAGAACATGAAAAACTCATTAAATGCAAACATATTAAACTTTGTAATTTACTCGTAATATCAACAATTTTTAAACGTGTTCTCACGCTCGAGCTTGTCAACGATTACCCTTCATATCTTAGTTGTTTTTTTTTTCTCGTCTTTTTCCTATCAACTTGATGGCATGTTTTTTTTTCTCAGTCATATGGTATCGGAGTAGCCGGCGGTATTAAAGCATCACGACTACAGATTTACGAAGATTCCAAACTCGAGTATCAAATAAAGTGATTTCAAAGCTTCATATATGCACTTACCAATCTAATGTTGTTTTCTTTAAATGTAATTTTATCAATCAGCTAAGACAAATTAGAAACGGGTAGCAAACAAAAAGGTAGAAACGGGGTATGCAATCAAAATGGTAGAAACGGGTTATGAATAAGAAATTAAAATTGAGGCAAGAAACGGGATATGAATAAAAAAGTAAAAACGGGGTAGCAAACAAAAAGTTAGAAACTGGGTATCAATAAAAATGCAGAAACAAGGTAGGAAACAAAAGGTAAAAACGGGATTGCAATCAAAAAGGTAGAAATGGGATATGCATCAAAAAAGAAGAAATGAGGTAGCAAACAAAAAGGTAGAAACGGGGTATGAATTAAAAAGTAGAAACAAGGTAGCAATCAAAAGGTAGAGACGGGGTACGCATCAAAAAAGTAGAGAGGAGGTAGCAAACAAAAAGTAGGAATGGGGTATGCATCAAAAAAGTAGAAACGGGGTAGCATACAAAAAGGTAGAAACGGGGTATGAATAACAAAAAGTAGAATTCGGGTAGCAATCAAAAAGGTAAAAACAGGGTATGAATAATAAAATGTAGAATTTAGGTAGCAAACAAAAAGATAGAAACGGGATATGCATCAAAATGGTAGAAAGGAGGTAGCCAAAACAAGGTTGAAACGGGGTATGAAACAAAAACAGTAGAAACGGGATAGTAATGTGTAATTAAATTGAAGTAGGAGCCAAGTAATAGCAATAGTAAACTAGAAGTAGTTACTGTAGTTAATATTGTAGATCTATTTTCGAGTATCTAATAAAGTGACTTTATCTTGTCTGAAGCACTTATCAATATAATAATGATATTTAACATAATACATAAGGTTTAAACAGTACTTGCTTTCATTTCTAAAAAAAGAACAGACGTACGTAAATTGTTCAAGGTTTAACTGTACTTGCTTTCATTTCTTACAAAGAAAAAAACAACAAAAATAACAGACATACGGAAAATGTGCCGTGAGAAACGCTGTAATTTATGTGTTGGCTGATTTATGTTTCAGGATATTTGTTTTTTTTACAATTAAGATTCCGGTATACAAAGTCTTAAAGGCCGTAAACATCCGTGATATATTCATTAAATATTAAGCATGATTTGCATATCCTGTTATTCTATCATTTTATCTGTAATTGAGAGCAGATTGCCAGTATTTAGAGGGTAGTTAAAAAAGTAAGTATCCTTAGATACTAACCCTTATTCTGGCCTTCCCATCTGGAAAGCGACAAATATGATTATTGGCAATCAAGAATGTGTTCCGAAAGTTACCAATACGTAGATGATATCAACTCGGCAAACTTCGATGCTTCCTGTTTCTGAGATCTCGAATAAATCTCATAAATCTCTACAACTGTTCCTGGTCATATCAACGCTCATGTGATATAAAAAAAAACACAAACAAGGTTTATTAAAGTAAGACATAATTATGCTATTTCTTTTTAGAAATCAAAAGATGTAATGACTGGGGAACTGTCATTTTGCGAGCGCCCGAAGCCGAGTTGTTTAGGCCCTTTACTTCTAAGCACTTGCCCGTAACCGTGAATTTTGCCGTGAAATGAAGCTATCTAGTTAACACACGAAACGTTGGTTCTTACTGGGTTCCTGTTTGTGCCAGAAATAATGACCGGAAGGGATGCCTGATGTTCCTCCACCAGTAAAGCTGGAAAGTCGCCAAATGACCAATACTGTGATGGTAAAATGTAAAACTTTTTTGCCCATTCGCTCGCCCATTCAACCTTAATTTATCTCGGCATTTGCAGTCTTTATAAATATCATTCTGGCCATGCACATACCATGAATATCTTTTATTCCATGCAACCTTCGTAAATTTCAATTTGACACGTTGTCTTCGTGAATTGCTTTTGCCTTATTAGATATAATTGTGCTCACGAAGTTTTGTATGAAGAAAATATTTCGCCTGTGCAGTCTTAGAATTTCGTCTACATAATCTTCATGAATGTCAATTTTCTCATGCAGGCTTCGTGAATAATATAACACGTCAATATCACTTTGCTTGATAAGTTTTAATGAACTTCACTTCGGCCCTGCATTCTTCGAATTTATAACCCTCTCTATCTTGGTTACATCAATAGGAAAATCTCGGATATTTGCCTTAATATGCGCTTTTTCCAGACAAAAGTATCAATATACATTTACAAATTATTTGCGTAAACCATCGTACATGTACGTTTAAAACTGCATGCCTTAATCCAAATCCATTTTTAAAATAATCTTTAGCAAGTGGAATCAATGGTAAAACTTTCTATTGCATTTTGTAGGATAAGCCTGATGAAAAAATATTCACAGATGTTTTCTATATCAGTGCTTTGAATAGAAAAGTAAGACATATTTTTGCTTAAAGCATATAATGCCTCAAAAACTGTTTATTTTTTATATCTTGTTTCAGTTTCCAAAAAGGTACTAATTTTCTATATACAAGATCTATCTTTTGTACCTTTAGCTCTATTGGCAATTGGCATAATTATAGTAGATTAGTATTTTGCATGGAAGTCAAAATACTACTTTGTTTATATTTCCTACCTTTACGATACATAACTTTATGTTCAATGCTAATTTTCGCTGTTCAATATCTAACGTGCTCTTATTCCATCTTTAAAACATTATTTAACTCAAGTTTGACATTTATAAAGAATAAGGAAAACATTGATTTCTGAGGCATATTGTTTTAAAATAAAATGTAATGTAGTAAATAAATTGTGAATAACTATAAATTTATCAAATGTTTTAAATGCTTTTTCCACATAACTATGTTCCTATTCAACCTTGTTTACTTATATTTTAGATCGACAAATTTAATGCCGCCTATATGACTGAAATACTGTTGGGAAAAGGCGTAAAATGAAACAAACAAACAAACAAAACAAATAATATGAAAAGCACTTATGAACTAATAAGCTGAGACTGTACTTTTTAAACTTCCCTCGTGTTGTCAAATTTGTGGTATATAAAACTGTTGTTCCCTGTGCTTCCCTCATACTAGGCCCTCATCCTGTTTATCTAAACTTGTTCGTATTGTAAGATACGCTTGTGACACTTTGGACATAAAAATGAGAATTTCATTTTGTAAAGTTTTCTTTTTGAGTTACCTACTGACATATGCAAAGTCAGAGGAACTGCACTGTTCAAAATATGATTTTGAAGAGAAAGTGTTAGAGAAAATGGTTCGCATAGAATTTCAAATGGAGAGAATGAAATCTGAAATGGAACAAACAGTGAAAAGTGTTGATCGTAAACTGAATGAAATGGATGAAAAAGAGGCAAAACTTTCGTATACCATTAAAACAACACAGGAAGTGTTAAGTGAGAAAATGGAAGCACTACAAAACAAAACCGTGGAAAGTGTTGACCTGAAACTGAATGAAATGGATGAAAAAGAGGCAAAAAGTTCGAATACAATTAAAACAACGCAGGAAAAGTTAAGTGAGAAAATTGAAGCACTACAAAACAAAACGACAGAGGTAATTGACACAAAATTAAAGGAACTGCAAATTCTTAAAGGTAAATCTAAATAGTCATATAAATTTTAGTTTATTCACATTATTGTTCAAGGAATAACCAATGCTTTGTAGTTCGTAGTTCAGGTCTTCACATATTCAATTTTACCTAATTGAAATATTCAAAACTTAATAAATGTTGATATTTCAATAACCGCCTTATCAAAAACGATATAGCATGTCAATCTCTGAAACTGTCTTTGACTTTTAATTTTCATTTCTTTCAGCTTATGTGTCCTTTTATTTTAATATTGTTTTTTAAAAAACAATTATTTGGTATAATTGTTACTGCTATTTGGTTACAAAACAGAGTAGCCTGTATCAGACATCGTATCATCATTTTAAAAGATACACACAGATAAAAAGAAACGATTGATTTATACGTGCCTAGATGTACATATGAACGCGAATGTAGATAAGTGATCCAAATGATTAAGAAACTGTTGCTTTATTAAAATAAATACAAATACGTGACGTCTGTTTTCTTACATTCCCATTTTTATTACATTTTTCGGGAGGGGGGAGGATGAGCGTTGCACCAACACTTGATTATTTCAACGTTAGACTATTAAAACGTGAACATGGTAAAATGCTAGAAGCTCGCACAATATTATATTATTTACTCGTTTAATAAGTTCAGTTTTTAATATAAACATCAACGAGTGTCTAATTGGCCATTTTTTATAATATAATATTTTACAATCTAAAGAAATGATTATTTCAGTATTGTACACAATTATGTATCAATCAAATAAAAGGAAATACATTATGTATTGCATTCAAAATTATCCATGCAGGGCGGCACGTTCGTAAATAAATAATAAACTTAAGTTCCTCGTGAACGGCATGGTAGTTGTCTTATTTAATGTGAATACGTTCTTTGTTGATTTTCATTTATGAAAAATATCTAACATTCCATTAATGAGCTGCTTAAAATTCACTCAATCCGTCGGATTATCCGTGCCGGCGTCTTGGTTATTAAACCTTCAATGTAGCTGCACTATGTTTAATTTATTGATAGAAGTACAAAACATTAGCGTAATCATGTTTTTATCAACCTATTAGGTAATTGATGCGAATAAAGCTTGTAAATAAGAATACTACATGTACTAGTGTCTAACCTTACGCAAAAATTCCCAAAGTTCGTGTATTGTCGCTTTTCCCTTATTTTCGGGAACTTAGGTGTGTTATTTAACATAATTATTCTGTAGTCGCTAGTTCCACCACGTTTTCTTTAAAATTAGATACAAAGTTGCATAAATACTTGTACAAATAAGGACAAATAAGGTGTCTTGCTATTATTGTCGAATCGAGTTGAAATACAAAGTGTACATTCATTCAATTTGTTCTGTTTATGTCTCTTTCATAGACATATCATTTTGTTAACCTTACTAATGATGCTATTTCAGATCAGATTGTGACACCAACTGTGGCATTCAAGGCAAGACTAGATACTAACACTGCCGCTCCTGTAGGTCAAATTATAGTGTTTCCTGTAGTACTCTTCAATAAAGGAGACGCCTACAGCACTCAGACTGGAAAATTTACGGCCACAACAAATGGAACATATCTTTTTACTGTAGCACTTTGTGTGCATAATATGAAATATTTGCATGTTGATATAATGGTTGATGGTGTAGCATACACTAGGACATACATTCATGACAACGATTATGTCGACTGTCACACAACTGACACTGTCGCTGTGTTAAAAGCTGGACAGAACGTGTGGGTTCAGCCGTCTGGTAGTGCCTCTGGTTCTATAATTCGCCATTCTTCATTCGCATGGAACACATTTTCCGGAGTTTTGCTCCATAAATAAATACATTATTTACTGCTTATGATTTTACACTTGTTGTTATATAATTATGAAATATTATCAAACAAGTTGATGAAAAATAATTCTGTGGATAGCTTTTAAACCTTTTTTTATTCATGAACTTGTTTAAAGACATTTGATATTACTTACTTGTTATAATTATGTAAATACAATGTTACAATGTTTCATCATGTGTTATCTCACTAATGGTAAATAAAGGATCAGGTTAATTAACATAATTGTTCTCTACATGAAGATATATTTGGACAAGTTTTCATGTAGCCAGATAAACTATGAACACACAACGGTTCCAAACCAGAACTTAAATGACAACAGTATAATTATGCAACTCGGATTTTATTTGCAGGTGAATATTTCCGTGAAAGTATCGATTCGAACACAAAAGCAAATCCTTTTTGTTTGATATGTTTGTTTTTTTTAACAAAGATAAAGGTCATATTTAGAATATAACATTTTGTTTTATATGTTTTGTTTTTTTAACAAATATAAAGGTCATATTTAGGTATATTACATTTTCTTTTACATGCATGTTTTATAACAAAGATAAAGGTCATATTTAGTAAACAACATTTTGTTTTATATCTTTGTTTTTAACAAAGATAAAGGTAATATTTAGTATATAACACTTTGTTTTATGTGCATGTTTTTTAGCAAAGATAAAGGTCGAATTTACTATGTAACAGTTTGTTTCAAATGTATGTTTTTATGAAAGATAAAGGTCATATTTTATGATACTTTCTTTTTTCGTTCTTAAATTAGAATAACGTTTCATTAAACAATTTCTTCTGATAACTGTACGATTTATAATGTAAAAAATATTATTTACTATTCTTTTTTCTATGTTTTTGTTCAAACTGAACTTTGGATTTGTATAGGGTATAATCATTGTTTTAACATGTTTAATGCTGATTAAAACTTTGTATTCTTATTCATATATTTAGTTTTCAATGTATGTTGTTTCCAAAAATAAAGGTCATATTTAGTTTATAATAAAAAATATAGTTTGTTTTTCGTATGTGTGTTTATATCAAAGATTAAGGTCATAAACAAAAGTCATATTTGGTAAAACAATTAACTTTATTTGTACTTACCATTACAAGGCTTAACAAGCAGTTTTATCAATTCATAATATATATTAAATGTATAATATGCCTAAAAGATAGGACGTAAGATTCGTCCAATCTTTTAAAATGCCTAACCTATGTTATAGCTGCCTTATTGCACATGCCCTAACATTAGACAATTGAAATAAAACAAAAACAACTTCACACATTTAAAATGAGATAAGTCTTTTAACAACTCTATGCCCAAAGAAGTCCATATATACCATCACAGTTAACTTCCTTATCTCTAAGAACAGTAGTAACAAATACTGTACTGGCGTTACAAACATAGGCAAATATCTACTGCACTTAGCATTAACATTGTCGCATATTTCGTTATTTTCTATTGACATACAGCAGACCTCAACGAAATCTCAGATTTGATTTTCTTCTCTCTACATTCACAAAATGTACTGTGTATGACCCAATTCACTTTGTAAGTCAAATATTCTTCCAGGTTTAGTTGAAATTATTCCAGTTTAAATATGCATGACGTGGTACGACTAGTTCTAGCAGACGACTCTGAATTTGTTAACTCTGTCAGTATTCCATGCTTGAATGAAATGAGAAAAACAAACATAGAATAACGGATGGTGTTGTAAATATAAACAGGATGATACTTTGTTACTTTTTTGTACATTATATATATATATATAAACAAACCTTCGTAAGATATCATCCAATTATTCAAGTTTGCTATATCGATAAGTTAGTTGCGTTTTTTTTCTTTCTTTCGGGGCAGTGCATAATACAGTTGCTGCCCCTTTCCTAAGGAGACCCGGGTTCTTTACATTTCCGGTGCAGAACAAATTTTTCTCGATACCTCGTGGTCAAACTGGGCATACGAGAAAACAACAATATAACAAAACATTTAGTAAATTGAAACCATGACATTGCAATGAGCATATGTACATTAGACAAACAAAAAACTACAATAGAATTAATACAATTGCATTTTAGAATGGAAGAATTCGTTATATAGTATTAAGAATAAAAACAATGATAGTATATTATATATGAGACATGAGAGAAATTTCAGTAAGGTGCCGCTACTTTATAATTTTAAATCGGTAAATAAAATATTAAAGAAATAAGCTCATACACTTTTGTTAATGGTATTCGATATAAAATTTTAAAACTGTAGACTTCAGTTTCTGTCAATCATACAAGCGAGGAAGGTACATCTTTTTTGTACAAATCATTATTTTCTTGGAAAATAATAGCCAGAAAATAAACATCCCTTTTACATGAAGCTTTAGTACATGATGCAAAATTATACTTTGAATGTTATGGTAAACTAGTTTATAATTTATTTGAAGGAAACAATGTTGTAAACATGTACAAATGTTAAATAAATGTACAAGAATGATTTGTATTTACCTATATAATGCAAGTCTAATAATATTTTATCACCAGTTGTCGTTTCTGTGTAGTGAAGGGGAGGTAACCTCTGTAAGACGGCAACAGAAAACGACTCGATTAACAACCGTTTGAAGTTATCATTCAAGTTTGCCATACTGCTGGGTTAGTTGAGTTTTTTTTCAAGAGTAGTGAGTTTTACAGTTGTTGCCTAATTCCAAAAGGGACTAGTGTTTTTACATGCCTGTGCAGAACACCAATAGATATATGGGACCTCCGTTTCTAAAAAAAAAAACATTTTGTCAGCGGACTAACGGGATATCGAACCAGTACACTCTTGATTATTTGGCCAGTGAAATAAAACTGTAGCAGGGATCCGTAACAAACCAAATCATTAGACAATGATCTGCCATATGATATTTGATATAATGATTTGGTTCACAATGAAATTCTTGTGTCACTTTTTATTTTTAAAGGCCCATTATACCAGAAATGCTTTTATTTTTATTTTTCAAAAGTTTTGTAATTTTGTTGTTTTTTTTTTTTGTATCCAAAAAATTACTCATTGATCAATTATCTGAACCATCTGTTCCTTTTTGGCAATAAGTGCAGTAATAGAGAATTAACACTTTAAATTGAAGTCAAAATCACATTCATCGCTACTTTCTCAAGGTAACAAGCATCTAACATACTCTTAAACCATTCCTTAAACATTTTAAAATTCATGTTTGCCTTGGCATTTGATTCAGTTTCAAAAAAGCTTTTCTTTTGATTGTAAGTGTTTGGCTGTATGATAAGACTGAAATGTAATTTATCGTCGGCAAATTATTTCTTGTTTTTGTTTGTTTAATGTACAGATAAATTTATTTTTTCGGGAAGTTGATAAGTTCTCGTTATGATTCGGTTTTATTCCGTAAGCATATAGTTCAAACGGAAATTACAAACATCATATTCTGTCTAAAAACATATTTGCTAAATAAAGTCCGTCACAGCAGTCAGATTAACGTTTAGTTTCAGCTATTTCATATCATTCATTATATTTTAAGATGTTAAAACTCATTGCATGCCACAATAATAAATCGTGTAATAAAACTGTTACTTTTAAACAGGTTCCCACGCTCGGGCATAAAATAAATGGGTATTACAAATATTTCTCTTCTCCAACGAGTGGCATATCGGTGATTAATCTAGGAATTCTTATCCTAATATTTCATCTTTTCCCTTGTAAACTTCTTGTTTTCATTTAAGTCTTATCTTGCAAGGTTTAAATATACAGACACAATTTGTTCTCGCTGAGAAATAGATAACAGAGACAAGCAACTTCCTAACCAGTTAAGATACCAAACGTGCTTTCTAAACTTAAAACCTAGCAAGTAGCAAGTAAAAATGTTATCAATCAGAAATAAACATCAGTAAAGTAATACATTTTCTGAAAGCTTATATATTTGTCTATGGCTGCAGGTTGATACATTTACAGTTCATAAATGATACATCACTTTTTGAAAAGAACTACTTGTTAACTTTTGTGATAAATCTATGAATATGACTAAAAACTGGCTCAGTGGGTATGCTCTGTTACGTTTTCTTAGGTGAAAGGAATAGAATGTTACCAATATTTTACCAGTAACCAAAATAAATAATAATGCTAGATGTACCAGCAGTAATAATAGAATAAGAAGCAGCAGTAATAATAGTGGAAGTATCTGCAGTAATTACAGAAGAACAAGCAGTAGTAGTAACCGAAATAGAACTAGTATAAGTATTGAAAGAAGTAGTGAAAACAATAGAAGTAATAACAGTAGAAGCAGCAGTGGTTGCAACCCTAGCACAAGTAGCAGCAATAGAAAAAGTGGTAGCAATCATGTTCAATTTGTATGACATATTCAATGCATTTTTTTTAAAGAAAATGCTTATAAATTTCTCATTTTCTGTATGTGTTATATTTAATCTTAAAAAAGTGTTGTTTTTTCCCTGGAAGCAAGCATTTAACTTTTAAGCAAGCCTTTAGTTTAGGTTTGCGACAGTCACAAACACTGGGTGGTCAGACCCTGTAAACTGTCAACATCAAAAACTTTTAACATTAAAACACAAATGGGGCATCTGACTTAATCATTAAACTTGCTTTTATACTAGTTCCACAAGAATTAAAAAATCACATTTAACATCATATCTCAAAAGTACCAATTTTGATTAAAATCTTAAAAGAAATTATTGGCCAACTTTTTTTCTCTTTCTCTCCTTTTTTAATGCTTATTAACCCAATGTTCAATGGTTTGACTGTATTTGCTTTATTTTTTATTTCGTAATTCTTAGAAAAAACATACACATTGAAAAAGAATCGTGAGAAACGGCAATAAAATCTCAGTTTTAGGATGTTTAGTTCACAATAGAGATAAGCAAAATCTTAAAGGCCGTAAACATCCGTGAGATATGCATTAAAATAAAGCATAATTTACATATACTGTAGTTCTAACATTTTATCTGTAATTGAGAGCAGATTGCCAGAATTTGGAGGGTAGTTAAAAAAGTAATCATCTTTTATACTAGCCCTTTTTTCTTCCCTTTCAGTCCGGAAAGATACTAGAAATGGGAATCAATGATGCGTTCCTTCCGAAATTTACTAATATGTTGATGATATCAACTCGAAACACATTGATGCTTCCTGTTTCTGATATAATCACGATATGTATAAGGTTAATACATAAGTTCTCTACAGTTGTCGCTGGTCATATCAAAGCTCATGTTATATAATAACAAAACAAAAACAACGCGGTTTTTAAGTGAGACATATGCTAAATTCTTAGGAAATCAAAAGATGTAATAACTGAAATAGTGTTATCTTGCAGGTGTACATGGCCGAGTGGTTTAGGTCCTTGACTTCTAACTACTTACTCTAAACCGTTATGGGTCCGAATCTCAACAGGGATGTTGAATTTTCCATGTAATGAAGCTATCTAGCTAGCTCACGGAACGTTGGTGGTTCTACCCAGGTTCTTATTAGGTTCCCATTTGTGCCAGAAATGATGACCGGAAGGGCACCTGAGATCTGAGGTCTTCCTCCACTAGTAAAGCAGGAAAGTCGCCATATGACCAATACTGTGATGGTAATACGTAAAACCCGACAAAAAGATTTATCGCCCATTTGTCCAACCTTTATTGATCTCATTTGCAGTCTTTATGAATATCATTCCTCCATAAATATCTTTTTTTTCCATTTAACCTTCGTTAATTTCAATTTGACACGCCCTCTTCGTGAATTTCTTTTGCCTTAAAAATATAATTTTACTCACGAAGTTTTTTATCAAGAAAACATTTCGCCTGTGCAATCTTAGAATTCCGTCTACGTAATCTTCATGAATGTCAATTTTCTCAAGCAGTCTTCGTGAAAAATATAACGCCCATGTTTCCAACGTCAATATCATTTTGCTTGAACTTCTCATCCCGTGCATTCTTCGAATTTATAATCCTCTCTATCTTGGTAACAGAAATCGGAAAATCTCGGATATTTACTTAAATGTGTGTGCTTTTTTCCAGATATAAGTATCAATATTCATTTCCAAATTATTTGCATTCATGCAGCAACTATTACGAAAGTCCAAGAAATATTTTGTTAATTATAAATGTTTATATAAACTGAAAACCATCGTACGTTTAAAACTGCATGTCTTAATCAAAATCCATTCCTATTTAAAAGAAACTTTAGAAAGTGGTATCAATGGTACAACTATTTAGTGTATTTATAGGATAAGCCTGAAGAAGTAATATTCACAGATATCTTCTATATAAGTGCCTTGAATAGAACAGTAAGACATATTTTTTTCTTAAAGCCCCTATAATGCCTCAAAAACTGTTTATTTTTGTATCTTGTTTCCGTTTCCAAAAAGATACTAATTTTCGATATACAAAATCTATCTTTTGTACCTTTAGCTCTATTGGCAATTGGCATAATCATAGTGAATTAGTATTTTGTTTGGAAGTCAAAATACTACTTTGTTAATATTTTCCTACCTTTACGATACATAACTATGTTCAAGGCTAATTTTCAGCTGTTCAATATCTAACGTGCTCTTATTCCATCTTTAAATAAAATATTATTAAACTCAAATATGACATATATAAAGAATTAAGAAAACATTGATTTCTGAGGCATATTGTTTTAAAATAAAATGTATTGTAGTAAATGGATTGTGAATAACTATAAATTTCTCAACTGTTTTAAATGCTTTTTCCACATAACTATGTTCCTATTCAACCTTGTTTACTTATCTTTTAGATCGACAAATTTAATGCCGCCTATATGACTGAAATACTGTTGGGAAAAGGCGTTAAAAAGAAACAAACAAAAAAACAAAAACAAATTTTTTTAATATGGGAAAAGGAACCCTTTTGAACTAAAACCTAATGATGTTGGCTTTTTTAACTTCCCCGGGGGGTTAAAATTTTTGGTAAAAAGACTGGTGTTCCCTGTGCTTCCCTCATACTAGACCCTCTTCCTGTTTATTTAAACTTCTTCGCATTGGAAGAAACGTTTGTGTCACTTTGGAAATAAAAATGAGAATTTCATTTTGTAAAATTTTCTTTTTGAGTTACCTACTGACATATGCAAAGTCAGAGGAACCACACTGTTCAAAATATGATTTTGAAGAGAAAGTGTTAGAGAAAATGGTTCGCATGGAATTTCAAATGGAGAGAATGAAATCTGAAATGGAACAAACAGTGAAAAGTGTTGATCGTAAACTGAATGAAATGGATGAAAAACAGGCAAAACTTTCGTATACCATTAAAACAACACAGGAAGTGTTAAGTGAGAAAATCGAAGCACAACACAACAAAACGACAGAGGTTATTGAGACCAAATTAAAGGAACTGCCAAGTCTAAAAGGTAAAACTAATTTCTCATACTTAGTTTATTCAAGTTATTGTTAAAGAACGAACCAATGCTATGTAGCTCATAGTTAATGTCTAACATATATAATTTTGTACCTATGACCATTTAAAGGGACTCCACTGAGGTTTAAAAGCCTAAAACATAACATTTGAATTTCTTACAAAAATGAGCTGGGCCACTTTAAACAGAATTAGATCTATATGCAATGATAGTTAGAAATATATTTTGAAATAAATTGAAAATCGTAATTTTATGCTTTTTTAGCCTGATTTGAGTCATTTTTCACAATTTGAATCATTATTTTGGAAAACGAAGTGCGCAAATGATCTGAAATTTTGCACAAAGATTAGTGGTCTTAAAATATTTTCAGTCCCATCATGTTAAAAAACTCAGTGGAGTCCCTTTAACTAATTGAAGTATCAAAAAGATAATCTATGTCTTCTTAATACTTCACTTCAATAAGCGTCCTTTCCAATAGTTATCTAAGCTTTTAATCTCTGTAAATGTAATTGTTTCACAAACAAGAGCTGTCGGTAGGACAGCAACGCTCGACTATTATTAGTGCTTGATAGTAAAAAAAAATGCTTGATACAATTACCTCCTCCTGTTTACAGGTTGGGGTAATGATGGTGAACAATTGTGCAAAGTTTCAAAGCCATATGTCAATGGACTTTGAAAATATTTGAACTATTACAAAAACTTTAACATAAGTGGTTACGCCGACGCAGACGACGACACTGACGCCGAGGCCGACGCTCGGGTGACTACAATAGCTCTACTTATTCTTATCGAATAGTCGAGCGAAAAAATGATAAAATAAATCTTTTTTCTCAAAGTGATTTTTTCTGTTTATATATCGTTAAAATAAGAATAATTGTCTTTAGAACTTCATTAAATTCCTGTATATTGTTTATATAACATTTCAACAACATAGAAATTTTAGGCCGATGGGCAACCAGGCCGCCAACTTCACAAAAATGATAGAATTAAAAATCTCAAAGTGATTTTTTTTTCTTTTTAAAACCTGGATATACCAAGAATAATCTTAAGAACTTCATAATGCCCTGTTTTTATCTTATTGAGAACATTTCTACAACTGTAAAATTCCCTGTGTTTAAATAAAAACGTTTTCTCAAAGTGATTTTTATTATTTTTATATATCCATTAAATAACTTAAAATAACAAGGATTGTCCTTCATTAATTGCCGTTTTTATTTTTTTTAACATTACTACAAATAAAAAATTTATGCCGCCAGACCGCCAACTTCACGCCGCCAGGTCGCTTGGCCACCGGGTCGCTTGGCCGCCAACTTCACGCCGCCAGGCCGCTGGGCCATCAGGCCGCCAACTTCAGGCCGTTTGACCGATAGGTTGCCAACTTCACACATCTAATAAATAGAGGGTATTGAATGAGTGTAAGTTTAATACTGAATGAATTGAACGAGATGTATAAAATTATAATATATCAATATTGTTTATAGTAATAAGTTCAATAAATAGATATGAACTTACACGAATTTAATATTCTATTTATCACATACCAAATATTTGATATTCTTTTTATCACATACCCGAAATTAAAAAATACAGCTTTCATTGATGCGCCTGTAGACTTTGCTAACATTAAATTTTAGTCAGGTCAAAATATATTAACGGCCGGGCAATACTATTTTACGGAATAAACAACCTCAAGGCACATTCGTTATATTTGACTCGGACCTGTTACGCACAGTCGCTTTTACCTTATGTCATAGAACTAAGGCGCGTAATTCATCATAATCATTGTAGTCTCGAATTCCACAACAGTATCTTCTAATTTAAGTATAAAATTATAAAGATACTTGTACCAGTAAAGAGAAGGTACATTGCTATGATTGATGTATAGAGCTGAAATTCATAACATAGTATTGAAACAAAAAATCATATATGATATAGTTTCATTTATCAATTTTGTTTGAAGGGTGACCATGTAAACCTGCTCCGTTACGCTTGTTCACGTTAGAAAATTTCCACAAAATTTTGTTTGACATACAAGCAATAAACGAAATTAGACGTATAGCCTGTAATTCTGCTTTTTAATCTAGTTGTGATAAAATGTAGGTGGCCAATTAGCAAGTCGGCGAAGTGTGCACACATTCAATATCCTCTATTAATTTGTCTTTCATAACAATATCATTTTGTAAACCTTACTTATGATCCTGTTTCAGATCAGATTGTGACACCAACTGTGGCATTCAAGGCAAGACTAAATGCTCACACTGCCGCTCCTGCTGGTCAAGTTATAGTGTTTCCTACAGTACTCTTCAATGAAGGAGATGCTTACAGCAGTCAGACAGGGAAATTTACGGCCACAACAAACGGAACATATCTTTTTACTATAGCATTTTGTGTCCTACCAAACAAACATTTGAAAGTGGATATAATGGTTGATGGTGTAGCATACACTAAGACATACATTAAAGACACCGATGATGTCGACTGTCATACAGGTGACACTGTCGCTGTGTTAAAACATGGACAGAGTGTGTGGGTTCAGCCATATGGTAGTAGCTCTGGTAATATAATTTACCCTTCTTCAGGTTATTGGCACACATTTTCCGGAGTTTTGCTTCATACATAAACACAATACTTCCTGCATATGATTTCACACGACTTGTTATACAATTATTAATAATTATCAAACACGTTGATGAAACAAATGCAAACTGTTTCTGTGGATAGCTATTAAACTATTTCATTCATTAATTATCATAATCTTAAAGACATTTGATATTACTTACTTGGTATAATTAGGTAAACACAATGTCCGAATGTTTCATTACTGTGTCATATCTCACTAATGTTAAATATAGCATCAGATTAATTAACATCATTGTACTCAACATAAATATATATATATATATTTGGACGAGTACCCGTGTAACGGATAGACTTCGGAACACTAGTTATGAACTCAAAACGGTTCGAGGACAGAGCTTAAAAGACAACTGCATGTACAACTTGGCTTTTATTAAAATGTGACTTTTTGCATGAAAAGTATCGATTTGCAGACAAAAGCAAATCCTTTTGATAGAATATAGACCTTTTTACAATACGATTTTCCATAGCAACGAATGTTGCATTTCGCGCATGCGCATTCTGCGTAGGGCAGAAAGCAATAACGATGTCTATACAGTTTATCATACTTTAAGGCTTTAATAGATGCGATTTCATGTTATGTCACCCCAAAAATATTAATTTTGGGATGACTTAATTAAGACGGTAAGTACTGAAAACGTGAATTTATTTTTAACAGATCTACGAAAATGTGCGGGAGTAATAATTCAATGGTCAAAACGGGCACACACATGTCTTTGTTTAAGGTATCATTAGACGACTTTTCCATCAGTAATTTAAATTGAAACAGCAGGGTGTTAAAGATAAAATTTTATTACCCCTATATTACATAATATTACACAATTTGTATTGTACACTTCCTTTGAATAACTGGATTGGTCAGGCGGCAAGTGTCAAACAGATTGGCACTTGAACGTTTGTTCATTCAACCGGGACGTTTAAATATCATGATATAGTTAATCAGTTACGCTTATTAAGATGGTAATGTTAATTTATGTAACTTTTAAATATACCGATCAATGTTTATGGATTTTGAGAAGAGAAAAATTGTGTGAGGTGCATTATTAAAAATGACATGTATTACGAAGTGTGTTATATCTTTTCCAAACAACCCATCTTAACTTTTCAAGATTTTGAAAAAAAAAAATAAAAATTTAAAATCTATTAAATAATCTAAAAAAATTTCTGTTTGCATCACAGGCAAATCGGATAAAGGATATAATCAGGTATATTGAACACTAAAAATGCATTATCACCTGTTTTTATATTTTTTCTGAATGATAATTAATCTCGATTTCATGTTATATAATTTCTTTTGTTTTTAAATGAACTATTTCACGAGCAAATAAGTTGACTTTTCATTTGCTAATAGATATATTTCCACATATTCTTTCAAAAAATGATCTCAGTGTCAGGTCCGTGATCGTAAATTCTTAAAAAAGTATCTTTTCCATGCCTTTTTATGGCATTCTTCGCCACAAAGCTATAAAGTCATCTTTTCTATATTTGTTGAAAGCTATTTTATATAACATTCTACCGTTTACCTTGAACTAACTCTTGTCTATGAACTTCTACTATATTTCTATGTAAGGCGAAGCATTTTTTGGCCTACGTAGATTGCGCATGCGCGAGAAAATTCTAATGCCGGTCTAATTTTTCGTAGCAACGGACCGCGTCGTAAAAAGGTCTATATGTTTTTAGAATGCATGTATCTTATTACTGTGGGTAATGTGTCCTCGCCGATATCGGGATAATGCTAACGTTGCAAGTGGCTACTTATAAATAGGACATATTCGCATTAATTCTTTCCCTTTTTACTTAAAGTTTTATATGACACATGTATACGTGTATTCAAAAGTAAAAAATACAACCGTTGTTATAGTACTATGTCGTAAATAAAAGGTAGTAACACCAAGTCCTGCTCAATATTTCTTACGCAAGAAACGTAGTTCTAAAGATAAACGTCATAGTATGTAACAGTTTGTTTCATAAAGATAAACAGCATATTTAGTATGTAGTAGTATATTTTTAAATGTTTTTTTTTTATGAAAGATAATGTTCATATTTAGTTTTAAATGTGCTTTTTAAGATAAAGGTATAATTAGTATATAACATTTTGTTTCATATGTATGCTTTTTTTATGAAAGATAAACGTCATATTTAATATCTAACAGTTTGTTATATATGTATGTTTTTATGAAAGGTAAACGGTATTTAGTATGTAAAAGTTGTTTTATATGTATGTGTTTTATGAAGATAAAGGTCATATTTAATAATACTTCTTTTTTTCTTTCTTAAATTAGAATAACGCTTCATTAAACAATCTCTTCTGATAACTGCATTTTTTTAATGAAAAAATCGCATTTTGTTGTTTGCTTTTCTTTTTTTTCTATGTTTTGTTTACGCTGTACTTTGGATTTGTATTGACTATAAACATTGTTTTAACATGTTTAATGCTAAATAAAATGTTCGTATTCCTATATTTAGTATATAATAGTTTGTTTTTCGTATGTGTGTTTTCATCAAAGATTAAGGTCATAAACAAAAGTCATATTTGGTAAAACATTTAGCTTTATTTGAACTTATAGACCCATTACCTGGCATTACAACCAGTTTTATCAATTCATAATATATATCAGTATAATGTGTCTAAAAGTAAGACGTAAGATTCGTCCTATCTTTTAAAATATCTAACTTATGTTTTAGCTGTCTTATTGCAATTGCCCTAACATTAGACAATTGAAATAAAACAACAACTTCACACATTTAAAATGAGATAAGTCTTTTCATAGCAACTCTATGCCCAGTGAAATCCATATATACCATCAGAGTCAACTCCTTGTTCTCTAAGAACTGTAGTAGCAAATACTGTACAGTTGTTACAAACATTGGCAAATATTTACTGCATTAAGCATCAACGTTGCCATATATTTCATGTTTTCCTTTTCGCATACAGCAGACCTCATCGAAATCTCAGATTTGATTTTCTTATCTCTCCATTCATTCAATGTTGTGTGACCTAACGCACTTTGTTAGTCAAATATTCTCGGGGCAGCCAGATTTAGTTGAAATTGGTCCTTCTGAAATATGCACGACGTGATACGACTAGTTCTAGAAGACGATTCTGATTTAGCTAATTCTGTCAGTATTCCAAGCTAAAAATAGATACAATAAAATGCTATGTATTGCTGATTTAAAGCAAAATGGTAGAAGTATAATAATGGCAAGACTAGCATTGTTAATGTAATTATTTCTTCAAAATTCTTCTTTATTTCACCTGCATGCAATGGCTTTCTGAAAAGTATATTGGCCCATAAGATCGTTAGGTTTTAAGTCAGACCTATACTGCCAAGGTCATATGATAGAAGCCCTTTACAGAAAGGCATCAGAAGCCTCTTTGTGCATTATTTTAGATAGAACAGTCAATGGAGTGAAGCATTCCATGAGTTAACTTGATAGATTCCAAACATGAGAGATTTCAAAGTCACTGATTGGATTTGAACTGACGGTGTAATGGGGAAAGTGAATTATGATCACCATCTCTAGTCCACATACTAGTATTATAAAATACATACAAAAAGCAACATAATTTTGAGGGACACAAATGCAGTATCATATGGCGTCCTCATTGCTTTCATTACAATGTTAACATTCTGTATCTGTTGAGGATCCTCTGATGCCTGAAACATACAATATAGTATATATGTTTTTAAATAAAATATATACAATAATATATCAAACATTCAATAAATGATGATAATACAGTTAATATAGAATAAACTTAAGAACATCCTGCTATGCTGAACATACCTGAAAATATAAAAGAGTTTACCAACGTTCTGTTAATGATCAGACTTCCTGAAATTCAGGTTTTACTGGTGGAAGTAGGCCACAGTAGCCCTTTCGTGCATTATTCTACGCACAAGCGGGCAACTGAGTAGAACCACCGATTTTCTGTAAGCTAGTTGGATAGCTTCCTAGTATGACAGAATTCAAAGTCCCTTTCGGGATTCGGCAATCAGTCATGAGGACCAAGTGATTTGAAGTCAACAACCTTAATCGCTCAGCAATGGAGACCATTACTTAAAGAATAGGATAATAACATTCTGTAATTGCTGAGGACATCCTCTGGGACCTAACATACACAAAAGTGCATAAATACGGGTATCATAAATGCAGAAGATACTCTGATAGTTGAAATAAATTATAATTTTGCAAACAATTTAGCTGAATATGTTTACAATACTCTGAAAATTGCAACAGAATAATATACCGATTTTAATTGCTGAACATTGAAGCATATGAAAATCGGATGATGATGTATGGAATATACATGAGAATGGAAGAGTTAAACAAAGTTTACTGTATAACCAAAAGTGTTTAGCCTTTGTCACCAGTATAGGGGCTGGTCAGACTGCATGCAAGTCAGTTGCTCAACATTTTTATTTTGATACCAAAGTCCCTAAACTTTGATTGAACTGTTAGAAGTTTAAAGCCGAGCAAATCCGTTTGAAAAGGCAATTTAAGGATGAATATTTATATGCAAATATTCCTCCATTAAGTGTAACATGAAACACGTTTTTAAATAAAGCTCAGATTTGTTTTAATATGTAAATTAATCTATCTTGCAATAATACTATTTGTAAAACTCGTTCATGAGTGTTTCACATGATGTCATTAGAGAAAACATTATAATTGCATTGAATTTAAGTATAAAAATCTCAACCGTATATGTTAAATTTTCTTTGGGTTTACATTGAGACTGTATAAGATCATAAGACATCACATGCCCCTTTGTTGATTATTTTAGGTTCGAGCGGTCAGCTAAGTAGAACCACTGACATTCTTAAAGCTAACTGGATATCTTTATCGCATGGATAGTCTCTGGCTGTTACGGGAAAGCAGATTTAAAGTAAGGAACATTATCCACTTAGCCATGTCGGCCCCATTCAAGCCATGATCCCTCTCAGCTTGGAAGATTTTGATATTTACCCTTTCATGGATGATTGGAGATTACAAATAATTAACAATAGTGGCTATTAAATGCAGCTTAGATTTTCTATATACAAGCAGGTATATATCAAATGAATAATATACTACATCTTTATAAGACATAAGCCAAACGGTATAGATCTGTTCTATACATTTTGTATTTTCAATTGTCAAATAGTACAATATTTAATACAACAGCAACAATAACAACAACAACTTAACATCTATCATATATTGAAAACGAGGCCTTATTATAACAATTGAATATATTTTGAATTGCATATCTCATTATATGTAATGATTTATTACAAATGAGAATATGTTAATACAGGTTAAGACAATCATATACAATTATAAATAACACATTAAAAATAAATTTACTGGATTTGATGGATTAAATCACAGATCATTAATTTTGAAAGTCAAATTCAACAGCCTTCCATTTTATTAAATTATTATTTAAAGCCGACTTATTTTGAACTGTAAATATCAGTATCTCGCAATACACTTTCTATGACAAATTATGTGTTTTGTGGCGGCTTTCTAGATTTACTTGTGGAAAAAATCTTAAGATGTCCCATTGTGCATATATTTCCAACTTTAGCTTATACCTTAGTTGAACCCTAGACTTTCCAAAAGAATACTGGGCCATAAAAAACTAACCAAACAATTACTGTATTTATTTGGGCGGAAATGTTTGTATATATCTATCTATATAATGGTAAAACAATCTTTAAACAAAGTGATCCCTCGGAAGCAATAATCACAACAAAATTACATGAAAAATGCAGACTTAGTTTGATTGAGTCTGTACATGAGGGATAATGGATAAGTGCAACATCCCTCACGCCCCTAGCACCGGCTTGAGCGGTAGTTTTGATTTAATTCATCAATGATTTGTTAAAGTTACATTGTATTTGTTACTTAGTATACAGCCGCCTCACTGATATTAATCACAACTTTCCGGCCCTGTCCATCAGTCTGCGGATAAGGACGTCGAACACAACAATATGAATACACAGAACGGATATGGTATTTTGGTCTTACCTATGCTAAGAAACTTGATATGTAAACAAAAGCAATTTTATGCTTGGAGTTGTTGGCAAGTTTATTTCCAATATATCAAGTAAAAGTCTATCTAAATTATACAAAAGCAAACAATATATTATTTATATATTTATTATTATGGTTGTAGAATCCGAAAGTACAAAATGCCAACCTGTTGACATTTAGTCGGACTTGTTAATTTTTTTTACATCAGTTGGCTTATATAAATGGCTGTCAGACATATATTCAATCATAATTGTATCAAACCGACTTAATTTTCCTTTGGATATCAAATATATACATTCGATTTACGTACATTATCGAAGATTACAGTTTCTAGTTTTGTTTACATCTGAAACCACGTGGTAGATCTACTTTTAATCTGTATTAACTCCGAGGTTATTATAGATAATAGTCGAGGACGTCCCAATTGTACTAGTATTAATTGATTAAGACATTATGGTTGAACACCACAACAATTCTAAGAAAAATGCACGTCATTTTTATCATTGCTTTTTTCTGTATCAGTTGTCAGATTTAAATCTTGAACTTATGGTACTGTCAAGGAGAAGTGCATTCTGTACAATTTAATACAAGAATAATTGATAGTTGCCGATCATTTATATATTGAAATACAACAAAATGACGATATTCATCACTGATTGCCGTTGTGGGCGACTTTCAATATATATGATGGACAGTTCTTAAAGCCCGTTGGGACTGAATTGTTCGTCTTCTGTCTTGCTTCGTCGGACCCTTGTAGGTGATTTTCTTGTTGCTCTGGCTTACTTTAAGGCATCGAGTACTTTGGTAATGGTCATTAGGCTGTACCTTTTTTCTACATATTTACATAATTTTGTATGTGTTTTATTTATTTCGTCTAATGTAACCATGACCATTGTTAGAATTTCACTTGGCGGGGATTATTTTTATTTACACTTTAATGTCATTCAGGAACATATTGGAGCTAAGAGTGAGGTTTGGCGCGTCTAAAACCGGTTTAAACTCCCCAGTGGTTTAACTACCACTGACCGTTCCAAGGCGGTACCCCTCTGTGTTCCTTCATGTGTTTTTCATGTCTGTTTTGCTACTTGTTTTGGATGTTTACATGTTTAGTGATGTCTGTCTTGTTGGATTGTCGTTGACGGTAAGTATTTTCTCAATCCCCCACTCTCACCCATTTTTACCCCCCCCACCTTTTCACCCTTACAGCCCTTATCCCTTTAATTCCTTTATGGGTCCGTTTTAGTTGATATTATTTCACATTATATGTCCCACTCCTTTCACCCTTATGTCCGCTCTAGGTTTTTTTAGTGTGTCCGGGGCTGCGTCCTGTAAACTTTGCCTTTGCCTTGTTGATCTTTGTTCTTGTTTTTTTCAATGCCAATTCATCAACGAAAGAAATAACTGCTGTAAGAGTGAAATTCAACAGTTGACATATCTTGTTTATTTATTTACTTTTGCCTGAGATTTCCTATATTGCACCGCCCCTGCAGAGCGTTTATTTTCTGGGTAGTGCATGACAAAGTAGTTGCCTTGTTCTAGTGGTGACCCTAGTTCGTTAACCTTACCACATTTTGAGGTAATGCTAAGTATAGCAATAGCGGCGCTATAACCAAGGGTTTCGGGGAAACTCTTATCAATAAAATGTCATGTAAATGAAATATCTGCAATGTAATTTTATTTTTATGAAAATAGAATCAAGTATTAAATGTAAGAGATAACGACATGAATAAAGTCAAACTCAAAATTTGCCACGTTTCTCTTTTGTATTCGATTCTTGGTTGATTTTATTTCCTTCTTGTAACACAGTTTAAGTACTTTTTGTTTCATCATATTTACCACGAGATATAAGACATTATTTGCACTTTGAGCATACTTAATATATTGTACTAATTTATATACCCCTGATTTATATTTAGCCCCGAGTTTTCAAAGGTTAGGGGTAAAAATACCCTTAAAAATAGAAGTTTGAACACTGATAATCAAAGAAATTATCTCTTTAAAAAAAGATCTTAATGCTAATAACTGCAATATATTATTAATATATCAAGTTACAGTAGCAAATAGTTACACCTTAATTTAATGAGTGCTGGGTCCTTAAAATATTCTTAAAGTAAGAATTATTTGAACTGTAGAGAATTTTTGTTTTTAACATTTTTTTTCTGAACGTTTCTCTTTCAATTTCTAACCGTTTTATTTTTAATAAAACAGTTAAGTTAAATGCTTTACCAACGTAAAATATGCTGTTATTATAAAAAATATCTCTTACCATTAGTCTATAGTTATCTAACGTAAAAAAAAAGAATTTTGGCATGACGTGTAATATATTTACAGAAATATATCCGTTATTTCCGTACTCAATAAAAAAAGAAGTAGAAAAAACTTTCTATAGTTCTACACATATTCTATTTTATCGGACTTAGATAAAATAATGAAATGAATTACAATAAAAAATGCCATGATTGTAGGCATTGGTTTGTTACCGTATATGAATCACCGCCGTATAAACATATCTGCGGATGTTTCTAAATTCAAAATGTTATCATAACGTGATTTAGTGTTAACACTTCCAAAGCTGGTGCTAATGGGCATGGACAGTAGCTTGCACTTTACAGTTCTGTCCATGAACAGACTCAATCAAACTTAGCCTGAAGCATTTACAATTTTGCCGTTCTTTGCGGTTCTTTAGGAATTCTATTTCTCTCCAATTGTGCTGCGAAGACCTGACACATGGTCACTCTAATAGATATTCTAAACGAATTCAAATGAGTATAATATGAATTGAAAGTTACTTATTAAAATACATGTTAAATACTGATGAATAAATACAAGATAACATATGAAAATGCATTCCAAGTTTCACTCTGACGCAGTCGCCATATATAACATATACAGTTAACGAAGTGTCATAAAAGTTAAGTTTTAACCTAAATCAAGCGCGTAAAATCAAACTAAGTATGCACATATTCGACAAAATTATCAGCCTGAGCATACCTTTGAACTAATTACCAGCTACGTAATTGATATTATATAAACATTCGATTGAATTAAGTAAAACTGTTATTTTGTAGGTAGTATTTTGAATTGCATGAACGATAGTTTATGCACATTTGTGAAGATGTATCTTATTTCTTATTTCTAATTTCAAATTTGCACAGGAAGTTGGAAAGATCTTGTTATGATTTTCATTTCTTTCTTCCAAAGCAAATATCTTAGACGAAAAATCCATGTTGTAAGATATAAATGCTACAAATAGTCCGTCTTATAAATGTTCTTACATTAAGTTGCATCTATTAGATATCATGTATTTAAATGCCTTACTACTTAACCTCTTATCTATCTATTCATCATTTTTCTGTAAACAATTGTTTTGTTTTATTCAGCATTTCATTTTTTTGTGTTCCTAAAGACGTTAACATGGTTTATACATACAGGCATGCATTGTTCTCAGTTCTCGAATTATCGTGCGTTAGCAGCACATCTCTAGAGTCATGATTTGCTTTATTTAACTTCCAAACACTTAAACTATTATCATGTATCAAGTATGATCTTATTTTTATGTTATTCTAATTATAAGCGAATCAAAAGTAGAAAGGGGATGGAGATATGTAACAAAAAAGAATAACCAGGAGTAATAATATTAGTAGCAACAATAGTCATACTCAATTTGCATAAAGCATGAAAGCCATTTAAGTTTTACTTACAGCTTTTTATTTCTTACTTTATTTTTATTTATTTATTTTTATGTTGTTTTTTTTAGGGGGGGGGGTTCTGAGAAAAATGAATGTAATGAAAACAATCCATGGGAAAAAACGTTTATCTTGGCAGAATTTCATATGTTTACAATTAATATGAAGTTAGGGCGTAAATGTTCGTGAGATATTCAAATATATCATGATAAACTTATACTGTTTTTCTATAATATCAGTACAAAGCAGATTTCCTCCATTTTGAGGGAGGGAAGTTTAATAAGTAAATATCCTGAAATTCTACCATAACTGTATCAATAAATTCTCAACTTTTATATAATCATGACAAACTAATGGATTTAAGGTTATTGGCGACGTATTGCGAATGATAACAATAGATGCTATCAACCCGACACAAACCTCATCCCTACCAATGCTTACAAAGATTCGAAAAGGTACAGATTAACTCATTTCGTCCATGGAGTCTTTATGATTTTTATACGCCAATGCAGAATCACATTTTGCCCATGCAGGTTTCGTAAATCTCATTTCGCCCATATATCGTTCTTAAATCTCATTCACTCATACATTTTTTGTAAATTTCATTTCTCCAATACAGTTTTCGTACACACAGTTTTCGAAAATTTCATTTCACTCATACAGATTTCGTAAAGTTTCACCGATGCAGTCTCCGATTTCTGAGGCATTATGTGCCTAACGTAAAGTAGTTAATGGATTGTGAATAACTATTAATTTCTCAACAGTTTTAAATGCGTTTCCACATAACTATGTTCCTATTTAACTTCATTTGCTTATCTTTAGAACTACAAATTTAATATGAAAAGCACTTATGAACAAATAAGCTATGGTTGTACTTTTTAAACTTCCCTCGTGATGTTAAATTTGTGGTACATAAGACTGATGTTCCCTGTGCTTCCCTCATACTAGGCCCTCTTCCTTTTTATTTAAACTTCTTCGCATTGTAAGATACGTTTGTGTCACTTTCGAAATAAAAATGAGAATTTCATTTTGTAAAATTATCTTTCTGAATTACCTACTTACATGTGCAAAGTCAGAGGAACCGCACTGTTCAAAATATGATTTTGAAGAGAAAGTTTTAGAGAAAATGGTTCGCATGGAATTTCAAATGGAGAGAATGAAATCTGAAATGGAACAAACAGTGAAAAATGTTGACCGGAAACTGAATAAAATGGATGAAAAAGAGGCAAAAAGTTCGTATACCATTACAACAACACTGGCAACGTTTGGTGAGAAAATCGAAGCACTACAAAACAAAACAACAGAGGTTATTGACACAAAATTAAAGGAACTGCAAATTCTTAAAGGTAAATCTAATTAGTCATATAAATTTTAGTTCATTCACATTATTGTTCAAGGACGAACCAATGCTATGTAGTTCATAGTTTATGTCTTCACATATTCATTTTTACCTATGACCATTTGACAAATTGAAATATCCAAAACTTAATTAATGTTCATATTTCAATAACCGTCTTCTCAAAAACGATATAACCTGTCAACCTCTGTAACTGTATTTGTCTTTTTTTAATTTCCATTTCTTAAAGTTTATATGTTTTTTTTTTATTTGAATACTGTTTCTAAAAACAAGTATTTATTATACATTGTATTTATTACTGCTATCTAGTACAAAGCAGAGTAACCTGTATAAGACAACATATCATCATTTTAAAAGGTACACAAAAAAGAAAGAAAAAAACGATTGATTTTTATGTGCAGGTTGATGTAAACCTAGATGTAGATATGTACGTGAATGTAGATTTATGATATATGTGATCAAAAAGGATAGAAAACTGTTGCTTTAAAAAAACAACAAATATATGACGTCCGTCTCCTTACATTCCCTTATTTTTCTTTCATTCTTTTATTTATTTACTTCTTTTGGTTGAGCGTTGCACCAACATAGAAAGAGCGTAAAATGGCAATTTGCTAGCTTTATAGGCGGAAGACTTTGCGCATTATCTCAACGTTAGACTATTAAGATGTGTAAATGGGAAAAATGCCAGAAGCTCGCACAATATAATTTTATTAACTCGTTTAATGAATTTAGTTTTTAATCTGAACTTCAACGGGTGCTTTTATGGCCATTTTTTATAATATAATATTTTACGATCTAAAGAATTGGTTATTTTAGTATTGTAAACAATTATCTATCAATCAAATAAAAGAAAATAAATTATGTTTTCGCATTCAAAATTATCCATATGGAACGGCACGTGCGTAAATAGATATAACACTTTATTTCCTTGTACAGGCATTTTGTGTAATGCAATCTTTGTTGATTTTCTTTTATAAAAAAATAAACTTTCAAAGAATGAGCTGCCTAAAATGCCCCCAATCCGTCAATAAACCGTGCCGGCGTCTTGGTTACTAAAGTTTCGTTGTCACACCTGCATTATGTTTTATTTTTAGTTGTATCATAGTTTTGGGACTTTTCTGCTGAAAATGTGTCAGAGTAAACTCAAATAATACATATACGGGGTTAACTTTTTATAACGGCAGAGAAAGAGATAGCATTAGATATATCATATATCATATTCCAATGCGCGTTCATTTGTGACTTTTCCTCTGGGGTTTCCTATTGTGACAACAGGATATATGTTTTTATTTTTAACTGATACAAAATAGAAAGAACATCAAGACATTCGGCAATCTCATTTCAATTCCGCGTACAAACCGGATAGCCTCGTGTTTCGAGACTCTTTCTATTACATAGAAATGCAAACCATTATCATTTTTTATCAACCTTTAGGTATTTATTCGAAAAAAAACAAGAAAAAATAAAACAACAAAAAACAAACAAGAACAACAAAAAAAACACATAAAAAACAGGATCTGTATATCATAAGGCACCTTTGCAATATTGGACTCAAACTCGTTAAGCGTTAAGGGTGTGCCCATTCGCCTTTTCCTTATGTAAGGAAACTAAGACGTGTTATTCGTCCAACTTATCATGAACAACAGTATCTTTATTAAATACACTATTATAAATATACGTGTACTAGTAAGGATAAGACACATTTCTATCATTGTCACGTCGAGTTGAAACACTTAGTATAGAACAAAATTATATATGACATGGTGCCATTTTGTAGTTTTTGCTCTTAAGGGGCCATGAAAATCCACTTCGGTACAAGCACTTAATTATATTAGATGCTTAACTCGTTATTTATATTTTAACGAAGATGTGGTCAAATATTGATGGCAATTTAACAATTCTTCGAAGTGTACACTCATTTAATAACTTTTATTTTTGTCTCTTTCACCGACATATCATTTTGTTAACCTTACTAATGGTCCTACTTCAGATCAGATTGTGACACCAACTGTGGCATTCAAGGCAAGGCTAAATGATCACACTGCTGCTCCTAAAGGTCAAGTTATTGTGTTTCCTGTAGTACTTTTCAATGAAGGAGATGCCTTCAGCAGTGAGACAGGGAAATTCACGGCCACAACAAACGGAACATATCTATTTAGTATAGCATTATGTGTGCAGGCAAACAATTGGATGTACGTGGTTATAATGGTTGATGGTGTAGCATACACCAGGACAAACATGTATGGTGACGCAAATAACGGCTGTCATACAGCTGACACTGTCGCTGTATTAAAAGCTGGACAGAGCGTGTGGGTTCAGCCGTTTGCTAGTTCATCTGGTAATATAATCAGACATTCTTCTTCACAATTTTGGAACACATTTTCCGGCGTTTTGCTCCATAAATAAATACATTATTTACTGCTTATGATTTCACACGAGTTGTTGTACAATTATTAAATATTATCAACATGTTGATGAAACAAAAGAAAAACGACTCTGTGGATAGGTATTAAAACATTTCATTCATTTATCATCATAATCTTAAAGACATTTGATATTACTTACTTTGTATAATAATGTAAACATAATGTCACAATGTTTCATTATTGTGTTATCTCACTAATGGTAAATAAAGCATCAGGTTAATATACATCATTGTACTTAACATAAAGATATTTTTGGCAAGTTTTCATGTAGCCGGATGGAGTACAAAGGTTCCAAGCCAGAGCTTAAATGACAATATCATATACAACTTGGATTTTATTAACAGGTGACTTATTGCATGAAAAGTATTGATTGGAACCTTACGATGAAGCGAATGCACCTATTTAAACCAAACGGATACTGCGTGTTCGCCTTTATGGCGGTAATTCGAACATTTGCAAATTTGAATGCAAGACGCTACATAGAAATAGGGCAGATTAGCCTTAATACTTCTCTTTTTTATTTGAAGGTTTTATATGACAAATGTATACGTGTAATTAAAAGTAAAAACACAACCGTTGTTATCATGGTTATAGTACAATGTTGCAAAGATAAGGTAGTAACAGCAAGCCCTTCTCATTATTTCTCATTTACGCAAGAACCGTAGTTCTTAAGATAAACGTCATATTTAGGATGTAACCTTTCGTTGTATATGAATGTTTGCTATGAAAGATAAACGGCATATTTAGTATGTAGTAAGTTGTTTTGAAATGTATGTTTTTTATGAAAGATAATGGTCATATTAAGTATATGATAGTTTGTTTAAAATGCTTATGATAAAGATCATATTTAGTATGGGCCCTATAACATTTTGTTTTATATGCATGGTTTTTTTATCAAAGAAAAACTTCGAAATGGCGTATTTAGTATATAATAGTTTGTTTTAAATGTGCTTTTTGAAGATAAAGGCCATATTTAGTATGTAATATTTGTTTTATATGTATGTTTTTATAAAAGATAAACGATATTTAATATATAGTTGCTTGGTTTTAAATGTATGATTCTTATGAAAGATAAAGGTCATATTAAATGATTCTTTCTTTTTCTTTCTTAAATTAGAAAAAAACGTTTCATTAATAATCTTATAGCTGTCTCATTGCACAAGCCCTAACATTACACAACAAAAGAACTTCACACATTTAAAATGAGGTCAGTTTTATTCATAATAACTCTATGTCCAATGAAATCCATATATACCATCAGCGTAAACTCCCGTAATACTAAGAGCAGTAGTAGCATATACTGTACTGTCGTCTCAAACTTACGCAAATATCTACTGCACTAAGAACTAACGCTACTGCATATATGTATTTCGCATTTGTGTTCCTATTCACAGATATAGCAGACCTCACTTAGATTTAATTATCTAATCTCTACATTCACTGAATGTACTGTGACCAAATGCACTTAGTTTTTCAGTCAAATAATCCCGCAGCAGCTATGTTAAGTTGAAATTGTTCCTGTTTTAAGATTTTCGATGTGGTACCACTAGTTCTAAAAAATATTAAGCTAACATTGACAGTATTCCAAGCTTAAATGAAATGAGAAAAACACACAAAGAATATCGGATGGTATTTTAAATATAACGCGAATGATAATATGTATATATATATTTAGAAGTGTAATCAAAAACTTCAATATAAATTTGCTGTAGCTTTCGGCCTTGTGGCCTTCTTCAGCAGTATTAATGAAACATACAAATATATCAAACAAAACAATGGAAGTGACTTAACGCCATTGAGCGATGCCCGCCTTGGCGTTGATTGCAGTTTGCCGTGTTATTCTTTAGTATTTACTCTTAATCTATTTTTCCGCAAATTTTCTAAAAAATTTCGGTATTGGTCATTCCCGTATTTCTAGACACATTATTGTAAAATCACTGGCTGTGTGCCTGTTTGTGTAAAATTGTGCGCTAACGTTTTCTTGATAAATTAAAAAGATGTCTTTGGTACAACTTACATCCTGTTTACCATAATAAATGTGACGGTCGCTACGCTTACAACAACTGCATACACCACATAAGTAGATTTACATGTGATCTGATTGCATGCCTATTATGAGACCCCATTCATACCAATAAATGTGTCTATTGATGAAAAAATAGTTTGCTGTGGGATTTGTTATGAACAAGAATATCCTGTATGTAATAATCTTTTCTAAATGTCGTAATTGGATGATTTGGGAATTTCTTGCATTTTGCCTGAGGTGTGTAATTCAGGTAGGTGTTTTCGTACTATTTGTCCTATAGAATGACGATATAATGTACAATGAAATAAACAACAACAACCACAACAACAACACACTAAAAATCATAAATTTCAAATAATAAAACATTTGTTGAAAATATAACAGGCTAAGGTCAAAACAATATTTTTTCTGGTCGAAGAAAAGTTTCCTCATATGCAACATTTCATGCAGGAGCTAGCAAACAGAACTGCCGACCTTCTAGAGCATACATGACATGAAATGGCGACAGGACAGAAGTAAGCTTATGTGTGTATAGACCAAAGTCAAAACTATTAAAACTGCATACCTGCATAAGCTAAAATATTTCAAGAAAACCAACTTCAAGTAAAAACTTGATACTAAGACTTTAGAAAAGCACACAAATTCAAGATTCAAATAATTATCTATTTGGTTTGTGGCATTAATGACAGTTATTGCAGTATTTATCATAATATTGTTACTGCTTGACTAACGCAGTAAAGGCCATTTTGCATAATTGTACATATTTTGTGGTAATATACGTGATTTGTAATTGCATTTTGCAATGTACAATGTGTAACATACATTTTTGTTCACTTTACAACATTTTACTTTTAAATACATTTTAAATTACTAATAAAATTAGCATGGAACTGGAGATATGCTGTTTTAAGTTTGAAAACGTAAAACCCTAGTATTGACGGCACTCTCGTGATTTAGTGGCCTTATCTAAGTATAAAAGGTTTGTTTATCAATGAATTGATACATGATTTTTGACAGGTTATATGGCCCTATATAAACAGTTATTTGTAAATATATTATATTGCAATTCACCGTTTATAAACGTCAAATTAACTCATCAGAAATACTTATAATAAATTTAAAATACAGCAAGCATCTTTTTTAGAAAAAAAATCTTCATAAAGTGATAGCATCGTGTTTATAAATCTTTATAATACTGCACGTTTCTAACGTCATTTTTGATTGGATAATCGTGACGTTTATATAGTTTTGTATACACGGCTGCTGTCGATTCATGAAGAAATCTTACTTTTTTATCTAAAAATGGTGCTTGCTGAATTATAAATTCGTTATAAAGATTGTTGACAGGTAATATGGCTGTATATAAATGGCTGTTTGCAATATAACCCTCGCCTTTCGGCTCGGGTTATATTTACAAATAGCCGTTTATATAGGGCCATATAACCTGTCAACGATCTTTATAACTAATAATATAAACGTCACGATTGTCCAATGAAAAGCGAGTTACAAACGTACAATATCCTATTTGCCTTTGTATATCAGTCGGACAAATTTCGTTTTGCATTCTATAATTTCTAAACTTATATGTATATATAAAAGCATTGCATTCTGTTCAATGTTATATACATGTACAATAATGTCTGGTATTTACTGAAAATTCCAAGTCCAAGTCGAATGTTGTCGTTTCTTTTTACATGTTGTAGTAAAAGGGAAGTAACCATTGTAAGACTGCAAGACTTAGCGATTCGATTAACAACCCTTTGTAAGACTTCTTTCAATTTTGCCATATTCATATATTAGTTGATTGTTTAACGGGGTAGTGCATGATTCAGTTGTTGCCCATTTCCGGGTGCTTTTATATTTTCAGTGCAGAACATTTTTTATTGATACCTCACGACCATACGAGAAAACAATAACATAATGAAACATTAAGTAAAGTGAAAACATGACAATGCTATTAGTATATATCAAAATCATTATTTTCTTGGAAAACTAACATCTCTTTCAAATGAAGCTTTATGAAAAAATGGAAACTTATATGTTGAAGTTTATTGTTAACTCTGAAAGGAGTATATAATTGATTTGCAGTAAAATGTTTTATACATGTACAAATGTTATATACATGTACAAGAATGATTGCTATTTACCGATAAAATACAAATTGAATAATATTGGTCACCGGTTGTCGTTTCTGTATAGTGAAGGGGAGGTTACCGCTTTAAGATGGCATCAAAAAGCGATTCGAATTAACAACCATTCAGTTTTGCCATATTGCTGAGTTATTTGAGTTTTTTTCCGGGGGTAGTGAATGATTCAGTTGTTGCCCAGTTGCAAACAAAAAGACTAAGCTTCTTTAACATGCCCAGTGCAGAACACAAGTAGATATACATGAGACCTTTGTTTTTAAAGACATTGTGTCGGCGTAATAGCGGGATATCGAACCCGTGCACTCTTGCTTATTTGTCATTCCTTTATAATTTTTAAGGCACATCATACCTCAGAAATGTTGTTAAATTGTTATTTCTCAAAAGTTGTCCCTTTATACTATCCAAAACGTTACTCACTGGCTAATAACCTCAACAATCTATTTAATCTGTTGTTTTTTGCAATAAGCACTCATTTATCGTTATTTCCTTCAGGTAACAAACATCTAACATTCTGTAAAACCATTCTTCAAACATTATAAAATTCATGTCTGCCTTTTATAAAGAAGCACACCTTTATTTGTTTCTGAGATATATTGTGTCTTGAAATCTATGTAAATGTTATCCTAAAGAAAAAAGAGCATACACTGTTTTTAATGACATACGAATGAAAATTGCTGTCTTATGTTTCAGTCAATGTATAAGTATTCTTACCGGAAAAGAGAGGACGGTACAGTTTTTTAATGTAAAAATTATATATCGCCCACAAAAAAATCCTTTATTGTATATTGCCTTATATGTTAATTAATATTTTTTTCGTGTCGGAAAAACGATAGGTAGTCGTACCTTCTGGCATATATTACGAGCTAATCAAAATAAAAAGAAATGACAAAAATAGTTGGTTATGAGCTTATTTTCGTTGTATCAACAACTATAAAGAGTCAGTGATAATTGGCATTCGATTAAATTTTAAATAAGTACTTTTCATTTGATTGTAAGCTTTCGGCAGTGTGACGAAAAATGGAATTCATTGTCCACAAAATAGAGAGAATTAAGAATCCCCAAAGAAAGCCAAACACGGCACAATTGAAAATATTGCAGGCTCGGTTTGATTGAGCCTGTGCATGGACGGTACTGTCAAGTGCAAACCACCGTCCACGTCCCCCAGCACCGGCTTAAGCAGAATTCAACATGAACTGGTAAAATTTAGAATTTTGAAACATCAGCACAAAACATACATTTCTTTTGGTTACAGACACAGACCATGTAAACTGTAAAAAAACAACAACATTTAACATTTAACACAACTGGGGCAAAATATGTCTTAATCATTAAAATTTCTTTTAAACTATTTCCACAAGAATAAAGCTTCACGTGTACCATCATATATAAACAAGTGCCAATTTGATTTAAAATCTGTAAATTAGTTTTTTTTACCAAGGTTTCCTTTAAGTTTTGTTATTTTTAATGTTGTTCTGGGTTTCTCTCTATCTTTGTTGTTATTTTCTTGTTATCTTTAATACTTTAAAACCAAGGTTCAAGAGTTTAACTGTACCAGCTTTCATTTCGTTATTCTTAGACAAAACAGACATATGGAAAATGGGCCCACAGACACGCAGTCAATCATGTCTTGACTGATCTATGTTTCAGGATATTTGGTGTTTAAAATAAAGATAAACAAAGTGTTAATTAAAGGCCGTTAACATCCGTGAGAAATTCATTAACTATTAAGCATGGTTTACACATCCCTTTATTCTAACATTAAATCTGTAATTGAGAGCAGGTTACCAGAATTTTGAGGGTAGTTTAAAAAGTAAGTAATCTTAGATACTAACCCTTTCTCTGGCCTTTCCGTCTGGAAGGCGACTATTATAATTATTGGCAATCCAAGATGTGGGCAAACTTCGAAGCTTCATGTTTCTGAGATAATCTCGGATTTCAAGTGAGACACGTGCTGAATTTCTGAAGAAATAGAAAGTGAAAGATGTAATGCCTGAAGAACTGTCATTTCGAGGGCGTATGTAGCGTCATTTGAGGAATCTATCTAGCTAAAGGCCTCAACAGACGGAAGGATTTTGAAGTACAACATCCAATTAAAACTAAGATGTACAGACAAATCTTAATGTGTGAAGGCTACTATTTCTTGATTTCGGAAACCTTAAGTCTAGATGTAAGGGATAGGACATGTTCTATTTTGAAAATCTTGTCGTACAGATTTTTACAGACCTCCCACAATGACAAGTAACAGATAACCAAATTATCTCCTGATAATGGGTGTTATGAATGAAATTCCAGAACAATTAGGGCTAAAAAGTAAACATAGTAGTAAGATGGGGTAAAAATGATGTTGAAAAGCTCTTCAGGAGACCCAAAGTTGTGTTATGTTCGAATCCCAAATTATTCCGAAAATGATTATGTCACGGTATTGAATTTTTCTCTAATTACGGGAGGGGAGGTAGTTTGTATGCGGTCAGATAGCTTAGTCAGTAGAGCCGCAGTACGGTATTCCGAGGGTCCCAGGTTTGAGTCTCGGTCAGGCTTCACTTCACATTAAAAAGATATATATATATTTTTTAATGGAGGTGTTTCAATCATTACTCATGGCGAAAAAAGTATTTAGTGAGTAAAGTATGTATAAGATCAATGTAAAGGGATCCTTTTTAGGGGAAACCTCAGATGATTCTTACAGTGTAGAATTACCTTCTGAATGCAAGTGTTGTATAGCTTTGAAAATTGTACATCTTATCTCTAATTAGTGCTGTACAACTAAATCCTACCGTCTGTTGAGGCCTTAAGTCACGGAACGTCGGTAGTTTTACTACGATTACCTTTTTGCCTTAAATAATGCACGAAAAGGCATCTCAGGTCTTCCCCCACCAGTAAAACTGGTAAGTAACCTTAATCTTATTTGCAGTCTTCATGAGTATCATTCCTTCCATCCACTCTCCATGAATATCGTTTATTCCATGCAGTCTTCGTCTATTTCATTACGCCCATGACATGATGTCTTTATGAATTCTGTTTCGCCTCTGACGCCTTAATGAATATAACTTTGCTCTCGAAGTTTTACATGACGAATATTATAATGTGCTATATTCAAATATAAGTAGCAATATTCATTTACAGTTTATTTGCATATATGCAGCAACTATTACAAAAATCCAAGATATATATAGTTAATTATAAATGTTTTAAACTGCAAACTAATATACTGTATATATAAGATTTAAAAAAGTGGTCTAAAAGCAAGTACAGTTTAGGCTAAGCCTGATGAATCACCATTCATAGATATCTTTTATAAAATTGCCTAGAATCGAAATGTAAGACATATTTTTGCTTAAAGCCCATTATGCCTGAGAAATGGTATCATTTTAATTTCTCAAAAACTGTATCTTGTTTCAGGTTTCAAAATCATACTAATTTGGTATATACAAGATCTATCTTTTATACCTTTCGCTCTACTAGCAATTGGTATAATTATAGTGCATGAGTATTTTGTATGGAAGTCAAAATACTACTTTATCTGTATTTTCCTACCTTTACGATATATAACTTTACGTTCAAAGCTTATTTTCAGCTGTTCAATATCTAACATGCTCTAACATTATGAAACTCAAATTTGACATACATGTATATAGAGAATTAAGAAACTATTGATTTCTGAGGTATAATGTGCATAATGTAAAGTAGTTAATGGATTGTGAATAACTATAAATTTCTCAACAGTTTAAATGCTTTTCCACATAACTATATTCCTATTAAACTTTATTTAGAACTACAAATTTAATATGAAAAACACTTTTGATTGTACTTTTTAAACTTCCCTCACTCACGGTGTTAAATTTGTAGTACATAAGACTAATGTTCTTTGTGCTTCCCTCATACTAGACCCTCTTCCTTTTTATTTAAACTTCTTCGAATTTGAAGATACGTTTGTGTCACTTTGAAAATAAAGATGAGAATTTCATTTTGTAAAATTTTCTTTTTGAATTACCTATTCATATATGCAAATTCAGAGGAACCCCACTGTTCAAAATATGATTTTGAAGAGAAAGTTTTAGAGAAAATGGTTCGCATGGAATTTCAAATGGAGAGAATGGAATCTGAAATGGAACAAACAGTGAAAAGTGTTGACCGGAAACTGAATGAAATGGATGAAAAAGAGGCAAAAAATTCGAATACCATTAAAACAACACAGGAAAAGTTAAGTGAGAAAATGGAAGCACTTCAAAACAAAACGTCAGAGGTTATTGATACAAAATTAAAGGAACTGCAAATTCTCAAAGGTAAAACTAATTAGTCATATAAGCTTTATTCACACTATTTTTAAAACGAAACAATGCTATGTACTTCATAGATTATATTTGCACATATATATGCCCATCCGAGTGTAAATGGTCACTGAGCGGGTAAATAGAAAACTAACTAGACATTTGTCAATATTGTGTTTAATTTTTAACTTTACCATGAAAAAACATGAAAATTCTATTTGAACAACGGACATTCTATAAATATCGTTCAGAACATTCATTGGTAACGCACAATTCTTAAAAAGAGTGGGGCAGTCTTTTTATAATTTGGGTAATTTTCATATTGAATCATATTCATTTTTATTTGTTTTAGCAGTTTTTTAAAAATAAATATTACAAATTCAACTCAACTTCACAGTTAAAAATTTACCATTTTACTTATTTAAGTATTCAAAACCACAGGCGCTAGTCACATAATCAAATATTTTACATAACCGGTCTATATATGTATATAAAGATATAAGGCCCCCAACGAAACAAAAACATCATGCGGAACAAGCAAGAACACTGCTGCAAGAAACGACCAGATCACGGTTATCTCTTTCTGGTCGCCATCTGAAAGGATCAATCCAAGCGTTAACGCTTTTTATTTCATTAAAATTCTTCAAATAGCAAAGAAATGAGTAAAAGTTTCACAAAATGCCAATATTTTCAATCCATGTCGTTTTCGACGTCCAATCTATTCATGTATACAAACACGATTTCTGGTCGATTTCTACGAAATAAACAGAAAACGTCTAAAATTTCCTCATAAATTTCATAAACAAACTCTTTTTCTATCAATCTGCGAAGTCTAAATTGAACTAGAGCCCTCTTTGTACGCAAATATTTAAAAATTATTGTTTGTAGAAACGGAAATCGAGTAAAGTGCGCCATTTTTACTTTGAAGTGACAGGTAAATGAAGCAAAGAAATAGTATTATACGATTGGTCAATAGTATTCCGATAATTATCTTAACCAATCAAATCCTTGTATGATATTCAGAGCAGAACAGTATATACATGGCGATAAAATATACTGTCACAAGCGAGATCCTTGTGTATTTTTTAATGAATTACGTATGAAGAGGGCATTTGATCAGTTAAGACTTCGCAGATCGATAGGAAAAGAGTTTGTTTATGGAACGTACGTGGAAATTCTAGCCGTTTTTTGTTTTTTTCGTAAAAATCGACCAGAAATCGTGTTTGTATACATGAAAAGATTGGACGTCGAAAACGACATGGATTGAAAATATTGGCATTTTGTGAAACTTGTACTCATTTCTTTAATATTTGAGGGATTTTAATGAAATAAAAAGCGTTAACGCTTGGATTGACCCTTTCAGATGGCGACCAGAAAGAGATAACCGTGATCTGGTCCTTTCTTGCAGCAGTGTTCTTGCTTGTTCCGCATGATGTTTTTGTTTCGTTGGGGGCCTTATATCTTTATATACATATATAGACCGGTTATGTAAAATATTTGATTATGTGACTAGCGCCTGTGTTCAAAACATAATTAATGTGTTCTGAATTTTCAATAATCGTCTTCTCAAAACGATCTAACCTGTAATTCTCTGTAAATGTATTTGTTTATTTTTTTTTCAATTTTTATGATGACTTATTGTTTGAATATTATTCTTAAAAACAAGTTTCTATTACTGTTATTCTGCTATTTGTTTGTAAGGTAAAAAGCATGATAACCTGTAAAACAACCTGTCAATATTTTAAATGTTAAAAAGAAATTAATAAAGAAACCATTGATTTATAACTCAGTTTAACTTAAACATAGAGGTAGATTTATGATACAAGTTATCAAAAAAGGATACAAAGATTGTAACTTAATTGTAAAAAATTACAAATACGTGTCTTCTGTCTTCTTACATTCCTTTATTTTTATTTCATTTTTATCTATTTATTTATTTATTTTCTGTTGAGTTGCACCAACACAGATAAATGGTCAAATGGCGATTTGCTAGCTTTATAGGCGAAGACTGCATTATTTTAGCGTTACACTATTAAAACGAGAAAATGGGGAAAAATGCCAGAAGCTCGCACAGTATGACTTTATTAATTCGTTAAAAATATAGTTTTAAATCTGAACTTCAAAGAGTGTCTTATTGACCATTTTTCATGATAAAATATTTTGAGATCTTAAGGAATGGTTTGCGATCTAAATAAATGGTTATTTTAGTATTGTACACAATTATCTATCAATCAAATAAAAGAAAATACATTATGTATTTGCATGCAAAATTATCCATGCGGAACGGCACGTGCGTAAATTGATAAAACACTTACGTTTCTCGTGCACGGCATTGAAGTTGTGGTATTTAGTGTAAATGCGTTCTTTCTTGATTTTCTTTTATGAAAAATATTAAACTTTCCAAGAATGAGCTGCTTAAAATGCCCACAATCGGTCTGATTATCCCTGCCGGCGTCTTGGTTAGTAAAGCATCTTTGTAGCTGCACTATGTTAACTTTATTGATAGAAGTACAAATCATTAGCGTTATCAACCTAATAGGTAATTGATGGAATAAAGCTTGTAAATAAGATCAAGAGTCTCTGTGTTTAACCTTACGGGACATTTGTAACATATTTAAGTTCGTGTCCCGGTCGTTTTTTTCTTATTTCAGGGAACTTAGGTGTGTTATTAAACATAATTATTAGGCAGTCGCCAGTTTCGCCACATGATTTGTAAAATTAGATACATAGTTTTATAGATACTTGTACCAATTTCTTGCTTTAATTGTCGCATCGAGTTAAAATATATAGTATTGAAACAAAAGCATATATAACAGTCACATAGTTTCATTTTTCAGTTGTTGTTTGAAGACTGACCATGTAAACCCGCTCCATTATGCTTGTTCCCTTTAGAAAATTTCAACAACGTTTTGTTTTACATACAAGAAATAAATGAAATTAGAAGCACAGCCTGTTATTCTCTTTTTTAATCCAGATGTGATAAAATGTAGGTGGCCATGTAGCAATTTGGCGAAGTGTGCACACATTCAATACCTTCTATTAATGTGTCTTTCATAACCATATCTAATTGTAAACCCTACTAATGATCTTATTTCAGATAAGATTGTGACACCAACTGTGGCATTCAAGGCAAGGCTAAATGGTCACACTGCCGTTCCTGTAGGTCAAGTTATAGTGTTTCCTGTAGTACTCTTCAATGAAGGAGAAGGTTACAACAGTCAGACAGGGAAATTTACGGCCGCAATAAACGGAACATATCTATTTACTATAGCATTATGTGTGCTGGGTAGCAAGTATTTGTACGCGGATATAATGGTTGATGGTGTAGCATATACTAGGACATACATTCAAGACAAAGATAATAACGACTGTCATACAGCTGACACTGTCGTTGTGTTAAAAGCTGGACAGAGCGTGTGGGTTGAGCCGTCTTTGAGTGACTCTGGTAAAATAATCCAACATCATCCTTCATACTATTGGAACACATTTTCCGGAGTTTTGCTCAATAAATAAATACATTATTAACTGCTTATAATTTCACACGAATTGTAATATAATTATTAAATATTATCAAACATGTTTATGAAAACAAAAGAAAAATGACTCTGTGGATAAGTATTAAACCCTTTTCATTAATGAGCTAGTTAAAAGACAGTTGATATTACTTACTTGGTATAATTATGTAAACACAATGTCACAATATTTCATTACTGCGTTATCTTACTAATGGTAAATAAAAGATCAGGTTAATTAACATCATTGTACTCAACATGAAGATATATTTGAACGAGTAACCATATATCCGGATAGACATCATAACTCTAAATACGAACTCACAACGGTTCCAAGCTACAGCTTAAAAAACAAAAACATATACTTTGGCGTCTATTTACATGTGGCTTTTGCATGAAAATTATTGATTTGCACACAAAGTAAATCCTTTGGAATTAAAAATATGTTGTAAATGCATGCATCTTATTACTGCTGGCACTGCGTCCTCCCCGGTTATCGGAGTAATGCCAACGTTTATGAATATATAGAATGCAAGTCGCTACTTATAAATATGGCAGATTGGCCTTAATTCTACCCCTTTTTGATTACAATTTTATATGACACGTGTATACGTAAATTTAAAAGTAAAAATACAACCCTTGTGATACTTCAATGCATCCAAGATAAGGCAGAAACAGAAAGCCCTTTTCATTTTTTATCATTTACGCAAGAACCGTAGTTCTAAAGATAAACGTCAAATTTATTATGTAGTAGTTTGATTTTAAATGTATGTTTTTATGAAAGATAATGGTCATATTTAGTGTATTATAGATTATGGTTTGTTTAAAATGTGCTTTTTTTCGATAACGTTCATATTTAGTATATAACATTTTGTTTTATACGCATGTTTTTTTTATCAAAGGTAAAGGTCGTATTTAGTATGTAACAGTTTGTTTTAAACGTTTGCTTTTTATAAAAGATAAACGGCATATTAAGTATGTAGTAATTTGATTCTAAATGAAAGATTACAGTCATGTTTTATTATACGTACTTTTTTCTTTCTTAAATTATAGTAACGTTTTTTTTTTAAACAATCTTTTCTGATCACTGTATGATTTATAATGTAAAAATAGCATTTTGATATTTACTTTTCTTTTTTTTTCTATTTTTTCGTTCACACTGTACTTTGGATTTGTATAGGCTATAAACATTGTTTTAATACTGAAAAAAAATCGTATTCACATATTTAGTTTTAAATGTATGTTGTTTCCAAAAATAAAGGTCATATTTAGTATATAATAGTTTGTTTTCGTATGTATGTTTTCATCAAAGATTAAGGTAAAAAAAACAAGGGTCATATTTGGTAAAACATTAAGCTTTATTTGTACTTATAGACCCATTACCGGGTATCGCAAGCAGTTTTATCAATTCAAAATATATTTAGATATAATGTGCCAAGAAATAGGACATAAGATCCGTCCTATTTTTTTCAAATGTCCAACCTGCTTTATAGTTGTCTTATTGCATATGCCCTAACGGACAATTGAAATAAAACAACAACTCCACTCATTCAAAATGAAATAAGTCTTTTCATAACAACTCTATGCCCAGTGAAATCCATAGATACCATCACAGTTAACTCCTTTATCTCTAAGAACAGTAGTAGCAAATACTGTACAGTTGTTACAAATATTGGCAAATATTTACTGCATTAAGCAACAATTTTGCCACATATTTCGTATTTTCCCTTTTCAAATATAGCAGACCTCATCGAAATCTCAGATTTAATTTTCTTATCTCTACATTCACTAAATGTACTGTGACCCAACACACTTTGTTAGTCAAATATTCTTGGTTCTGTTGAAATTAGTCCTGACGTGGTACGACTAGTGCTAGCAGACGACTCTGAATTTATTAACAATAAGAAAAACAAACATAGAATAACGGATGATATTGTAAATATAAAGCGGATGATACGTTGTTGATATATTTCTATATATATAAATATAGATATAATGTACAATAACAGTAACAACAACCACAACCACAAGACAACAAAAATCATTCCATAATTTGGCTCAAATGTTAAAATGTCAAATCACAAATGGTTTGAAAATAAAACAAGCTTGACTCAAAAATCTTTTCTTTTTCTTAACTTTAATGTGTTAAAATAGAGAAAACAGAATCCCTAAAGAAAACCCAACACGGCAAAATTGTAAAATGTTGCAGGCTCGGTTTGATTGAGCCTGTTCATGGAAACCTTCCATTAGCGACTTGTGAGTTTTTCTGGTGGAGAATTTTTTTTAAGTTTCCTTATATGCAACGTTTTATGCAGGAGCTAGAAAACAGATCCACCGACCTTCAAGAGTATATAAGACATGACATGGAGAATCGAGATTGAAGTAATAATTTACATGTTTTGTGCGTATAATGACTGATTTTGCAGTATTTATCAACATATTTTACTGCATGACAAACACAGTAAATGCTATTTTTGCTTATTGTACATATTTGTTAGGAACTTACGTGGATTGTATGGGCGGTTTGCAATGTACAATGTGTAAATAACATTTTTTGTTCGCTTCACAATATTTAACTTATAAATACATATTAATAAAAATAGCGTCTGGAAGCATGCTGCTTTAAGTTTAAAAATAAAAATCAGTATTGACAGCACATATTTTTACCTTGTGATCTAATTGAAGTATAACATGTTTGTACATTATCGCATTTATGTAATGCATACATTTTGCATTTCGTCATCCGCTACAGCAGAAACGAGGCACCCGTGTCTTACTGTCACATTTCTTTTCGTCTTAAATAATTTCTGAATTTATATTAATGTATAAATGCATGTGCAAGAATAAGTAATAGAAAGAGCATCAAAACTCGTGGCTATCTAATTGATTCTTTTTGCAGAGACCTTAAGTTGTGTTTTTCATCATCATGATTTTGTAGACGCCAGTTCAAACTGTCGAGTGTTTTGATGTTCCTCCTCTTTTGTATCATAGTGAAACATAAAACCACGTTCCCTGTGGTCACAATATGAAACCCCGGAGAAAACGTGGATTGTATGGGCGATTTGCAATGTACAATGTGTAAATAACATTTTTTGTTCGCTTCACAATATTTAACTTATAAATACATATTAATAAAAAATAGCGTCTGGAAGCATGCTGCTTTAAGTTTAAAAATAAAAATCAGTATTGACAGCACATATTTTTACCTTGTGATCTAATTGAAGTATAACATGTTTGTACATTATCGCATTTATGTAATGCATACATTTTGCATTTCGTCATCCGCTACAGCAGAAACGAGGCACCCGTGTCTTACTGTCACATTTCTTTTCGTCTTAAATAATTTCTGAATTTATATTAATGTATAAATGCATGTGCAAGAATAAGTAATAGAAAGAGCATCAAAACCCGTGGCTATCTAATTGATTCTTTTTGCAGAGACCTTAAGTTGTGTTTTTCATCATCATGATTTTGTAGACGCCAGTTCAAACTGTCGAGTGTTTTGATGTTCCTCCTCTTTTGTATCATAGTGAAACATAAAACCACGTTCCCTGTGGGCACAATATGAAACCCCGGAGAAAAGTAACCAATGAACGAGCATCTTAATATGATATTTCTGTCGCTTTCCCTTTCTCTTCCGTCACAATAAGTAAACTCCAGCAAAAATGAGCCAATCAATGGGTATGCTCTGGAGTGCGGGCAAATAACACCTGCAATCCAGTTAACGCACGGTGCATGTATATGTATACAATTTAACTCGGACACATTTTAAACAGAAAGGTCCGCATACTATGATACATTTCGTATTTATCGAAAATTCCAAGTCAAAAGTCGAGGGATATTTGTCACCAATTATCTTAACTGTATTCTGAAGGGGAAGTAACTGCTGTAAGACTGCAAACCAAAGCGATTCGATTAACAAACCTTTGTCAGGTACCATTAAATTTTTGCCAATTTTATAATTTAAATTTGCTTTTTTTTTCTTTGGGGCATGCATAAATAAAGTTCTGCATTTTCCAAGGGGGCCCTAGTTTTTTTTTATTTTCCGGTGCAGAACATTTTTTTTATCGATACTCGGGCCCAAACTTGGCATGCGGGGAAACCCAAATAACGAAATTATAAAATGAAACCATGGGCAATGCCTTTTATGAGATATGTCAAAAGAAAAATTAATGTTTTTTTATACAATTAATACAAAAGGATTTAAAAATAAGAAGTCAGAATAAAAAAAACAGTAAATTTATTATATATGAAACCTGAAAATAATTTCAGTAAGGTGTCACTGCTTCCTAATTTTAAATCTTTGAAAGATCGAAGGTCAACATTGTATATATTAATAAATTTGAAGGAAAAATGTTTATAAACATGTACAAATGTTTTATACATGTACAAAAATGATTGGTATTTACCGATAAAATGCAAGCCGAATAATATTTGTCACCGGTTGTCGTTTCTGTATAGTGAAGGGGAGGCTACCGCTGTAAGATAGCGACACAAGGCGATTTGATTAATAACCCTTTGTAATATATCATTCAATTTTGCCATATTGCTGGGTTAGTTGAGTTTTTTTCAAGAGTAGTGAGTTATACAGTTGTTGCCCAATTCCAAAAGGGACTAGTGTTTTTTTACATGCCCGGTGTAGAACACCAATAGATACATGGGACCTCCGTTTCTTAAATACATGTTGGAAATAGAACCTGTGCACATTTGATTATTTGGCCAGTGAGTTTACACTGTAGCAGGGATCCGAAACAAACCCAATCATTAGACGAAGATCTCCCATACGATATTTGATATAATTATTTTGTTCACAACTGAAGTCATGTGTCACTCCTTTATAGTTTTTAAAGGCCCATTATACCAGAAATGCTTTTATTTTTATTTCTCAAAAGTTTTATTAGTTTGACGATCATTTATAGTATCCAAAAGGTTATTGCCAATTACCTGAATCATTTTCGCAACTTTCTTCAGGTAACAAGCATCAAAACATTCTCTTAAACCATTCTTCAAACATTATTATATTCGTGATTGCCTTTCTACAGAAGTACATTTATTTGTTTTTGAGACAAATCATGCATTTTAATCTTTGAACAACAACGGTAAAGAAAATCTTTAAGAAATAAGAGCATACACTATTTTTTATGGTTTACGATATAAAAATGGTGACTTATGTTTCTGTCAATATATAGCTTGTTAACCGGATAAGCGAGAAAGGTATAACTTGTTTAAGGTGAAAAAACAACCCAAACACAATACATCGACCTCGAAATAAGTCTTTAATTGTATATCTTTTTTGTACTATTTAATTAAGAATCGGAGCACCGTGCAATAAAGCAGCACACTTACTTCAATGTCATGGTTTTTGAAACTTTCGAACAATTACGCTATCATCAAGTGAACAATTAAAGTCATGTAAACTAGTCTATAGCACTTAACAACCTAAGATGATTTAATTATAAGTGATAGAGACAGCGTGAAAAGTAGTGGTAGCGGTAGCGGCAGCGGCAGCGGCAGCAGCAACAGCAGCAGCAGTAGTAGTAGTAGTAGTAGTAGTAGTAGTAGAAGAAGATGTAGTAGTAGTAGTATTTGTAGTAGTAGTAGTAGTAGTAGTAGTAGTAGTAGTAGTAGTAGTAGTAGTAGTTGTAGTAGTAACAGTAGTAGCAGTAGCAGTAGCAGTAGTAGGGTAGTAGTAGAAGTAATAGTAGTAGTAGTAGTAGCAGCAGCAGCAGCAGCAGCAGTAGCAGTGTAGTAGTAGTAGTAGTAGTAGTAGCAGTAGCAGTAGCAGTAGCAGTAGCAGTAGTAGTAGTAGTAGTAGTAGTAGTAGTAGTAGAAGTAATAGAAGTAGTAGCAGCAGTAGCAGAAGCAGCAGCATTTGTTTCTGATATTTGATTTTACATAATGTACAAAGCAGAATAACCTGTGAGACAACATGTAAATATTTAAACAACCATTTGATTTTATTTCCTTCTTGTAACAAAGATTAAGTGTTTTTTAATTCATCATAATTACCACGAGATATAAAACACTTTTTGCACTTTGAGCATACTTCATATACTGTACAAATTTATATACTCCCTGATTTTTTTATTTACCCCCCCCCCCTCTTTCAAGGGTAAGAGGTAAATACCCCTAAAGAAAGATAGAAGTGACAACACTAATCAAAGTAATTATGTCTTCAAAAAAGATCTAAATGTTGATAACTGCAATATTTTAGTACTACATAAGGTTACAGTAGCAAACAAATATACCTTAATTTAATAAGTTCTAGGTTCTTATAATATTCTAAAAGTACGTTTTTTTGAAGGAAAAAAATTTCTTTTAAAAGTTTTTTTTGAAATTCTATTTCATTTTTCCCACCTTTTTTAAATTTTTAAATTTAAAAAGTTTAAATTTATTCCTTTTTAACAAGAATCATGCTTTAATAAACAAATTCTCTTTCCATAAATCTCAGTCGTTTTTTAACGTAAAAAAAAAAATAGCGACTGAATTGATATTTTATAGAAGTATTCCGTTATTTCCGTAATCAATAAAATAAGAAGTAGAAATATTTTCTATAGTTATAAGAACACATTATATTTCATCGTACTTAGACAAAAAAAAAATGAAATGAATAACAAACAAATTTGCTGTGGATGTAGGCATTGGTTTGCTACCGTATATGAATCACCGCCGTATGATAACATCTGCGATTGTTTCTAAATTCAAAATTTTATGATAACATGATTTAATGTTGATACTGCATTAGCCGGTATTAAGGGGCATAGACAGTAGCTTGCACTTGACAGTACTTCCATGAACAGGCTCAATTAGACTTAGTCTGAAACATTTTCAATTTTGCCGTTTTGGTGTTCTTTAGGAATTTTAATGCTCCAATTGTGCTGCGAAGGCATGACACTACTAAATATTCTAAACGAATTCAAATGAATATAATTCGAATTGAAAGTTACTATTTAAAATACATGTAAAGTGCTGATTAATAACTACTTGATAAAATATGAAAATGCATTCCACTCTGACGCAATCGCCAAACTGCAGATGAGACGTAATGTTGTATAATTATACAGTTATCGAAGTGTCATTAAAGTTTAGTTTAAACTTAAATCAAGCGCGTTAAATGAAACTAAGAATGTAAATATTCGACAAAGGTATCATCCTGAGCATACCTATGAACTTATAACAAGCTACATAATTGATATTCTATTAACATTCGGTTGAATTAAGTAAAACTGTTATTTTGTAGGTAGTATTTTGAATTGCATGATCGATAGTTTATGCACATTTGGGAAGATGTATCATATTTCTAATTTCAAATTTGCACAGAAAGTTGGTAAGACCTTGTTATTGTTTTCATTTCTTTCTTCCAAAGCTCGAAGAACAATGGGAAAAAACTTTTGTCATAGGGCATAAAAGTTCGTGAGATATTCATTAAATATATCATGATATACATATCCTGTTATTACAAAGCAGATATCCGCTATTTTGAGGGAGGTGTAACAAGTAAGTATCCTTAAATACTAGTATAACTGTATCAATACAATGTCAACTTTAAGCGTATTTCAATCATAACAAACTGATGGATTATTGGTTTTAAACTGATAACAATAGATGTTGCCAACACGACACAAACCTTATCCTTTACCAATGGTGATAAAGATTCGAGAAAGGTCGGATTGACGCATATTGCCCATGCAGTCTTTAAGAATCACATTTTGCCCATGCAGTCTTTATAAAATTTTCATTTTGCCCATACAGTTCACGTAAATCTCACTTCGCCCATACAAATTTAGTAAATTTCATTTCGCCCATGCATTTTGACAAGGCCAGAATTTAAGATAATAATGCTTACGCTCTTAAGTTATCATGATAGTATATTGCTTTCTATCGTGGTTACAAAAATTGGAAATTTTCGGACATGCGCAGGAGTGCCATTCTTTTTGCCGACACATTTTGTAAACTTGCGTTCACAAAATATGTGGATTGTTGCAGATGATGGGAACATTTTTCTAAAATTATTTGTTTATAGAATGAGAGATCAATATAGGCAGAATTTGCACGAACATTTAAATCAAAGTTAAAAGTTAGATTTATATCGTTTGTATAAATCTAAGTTTATCCATGAGACATATTTATCTGTTGTTTAATTTGTAATTGAGAAATGCACTTGCAGAATGACGTACTTCATCACATGATTTCAACATTGAAAGAGGTAGATATAGACAAGAAGAGAGATCTGAGCGTATATTTAATTTATGTAAAGTTTCAGTAGCAACAAAATACCATTTTGTAATGATATGTACAGCTCACAAAAATTTAGGATCAAAATACTTACCGAGCAAATATTTTGTTAATCCAAATATAATCATAAATTAAATATATCAATGAGTTATCAGGCTGAAAATATTAAAGATAAGTTGGCAAAGTTTGTATTCCATGCATTAGAAGAAAAGAAAAAAAGATTATTAAGTGTTGGAACATGACTATTAATATGATAAGTTTCACCACTATATAGTACCAAGATTTTTGTTTATACATAATGTTACTTGTACTATATTCCATTGTATGAAAATCTATTGATATATTCAATATCATCCTGATTTAAAAAAAAGATTAAACTTCAATGACAAAAGTAGGATAAGAGATTTTAGATAGCTAAATGTACTTACTATTTACAGAACTTATATAACTATTAAAGTTACAATAAAAGCAATTTAGTCATTTTTCATTGCATATAAAGTATAATATGGGTTGTGAAACTTCTTGAACCTTTAATGATTTCTTTTTTTAATTTTTAACTTCTTAAAATTTAGTTTTCTCGAACATATGATATCTCTTTTAAGATAAAAAATGTGTTTTACTTATCTTGAGATGTGGTAGATTTTATAATAATACTTATCCTCACCTCCCAAAATAATAATAATAATAACAATTATAATAATAATAATAATAATAAGAAGAAGAAGAAGAAGAGGAAGAAGAAGAAGGAGAAGAAGAAACACCACAACAACTTGGGTTGTTTATCAATTCCATGGCTCACTCTGTCATTTACTTGCTACACCCATGCCATGGTGTTATTTATGATTACAGCGTAGTTTTAAATCTGAGACGTTATAAAATATGAAGATACTTTTTAAACTTCCCTCTTAGGTTAAACGTTGAAGTGTGTACTGTTCCCTCAAATTGTATCCACTTTCCCATACATCTCAAGTATTTTCAATTCGATAGAAACTTGTGAAACATTGAAAATAAAAATGAAGATATCGTTCTGTAAAGCTTTCTTTCTTAATTATTTGCTAATGTTTGCAAAGTCGGAGGAACCGCACTGTTCAAAATATGATTTCGAAGAGAAAGTGTTAGAGAAAATGGTTCGCATGGAATTTCAAATGGAGAGAATGAAATCTGAAATGGAACAAACAGTGAAAAGTGTTGACCGGAAACTGAATGAAATGGATGAAAAAGAGGCAAAAAGTTCGTATACCATTAAAACAACACAGGAAAAGTTAAGTGAGAAAATGGAAGCACTACAAAACAAAACAGTAGAAAGTGTTGACCGGAAACTGAATGAAATGGATGAAAAAGAGGCAAAAAGTTCGTATACCATTAAAACAACACAGGAAAAGTTAAGTGAGAAAATGGAAGCACTACAAAACAAAACAGTAGAAAGTGTTGACCGGAAACTGAATGAAATGGATGAAAAAGAGGCAAAAAGTTCGAATACCATTAAAACAACACAGGAAAAGTTAAGTGAGAAAATCGAAGCACTACAAAACAAAACAACAGAGGTTATTGACACAAAATTAAAGGAACTGCAAATTCTTAAAGGTAAATCTAATTAGTCATATAAATGTTAGTTCATTAAAATTATTGTTCAAGCACGAACCAATGCTATGTAGTTCATAATTATTTCTAGTCATTTTTTGGTTCTTAAAATTCAAAAAAAAATGTAACTGCTTTTTGATTATAAAGTACAAAGCAGGGTAACCTGTACAACAACATATCAATATGATTTTACGTCAAGGGTTGATTTATATATACGTGCATGTTGATTTATACCTGGAGGTAGATATGTACGCGAATGTCGAATTATAATATGAAAAACGAACTGGCTTGTATCAAGTTTACAAATGCGTGTCATTCGTCTCCTTACATCCCCTTGCCTAAATATTTCTTAACGTCGCACCAACACAATATAGGTCAAATAGCGACATGCCAACTTTACTGATGGAGAAAGATCCTCAAGTGTCACTTTGGGCATTATTATAGGCACTAACGGCACCTGAGTAATACCTCCAACGTTCCGAAATCTAGCTGGATATCTTTCTCACATGACAGAAGACAAAGACGCAAGTGCAGATCGAAACCACAACGTTAACTGTGAGAGGTAAATTGTTTGAAGTCAATGACCTTAACCACTCACCCACGGACGCCCCTTTGCCAACAAAACTTTTTTGTGTTCGCTGTTTACACAATAATAAAATATAATCTCTAGTCTTTCCTTGACATTAAGTCGTGCTATTGCCCCAAGGTTGTAGTTCTTAAAATGAAAATTTAAACATAAACCACGGCACGTTGTAATAATATCATTTTATAATTGAGGATATTGAATGAATGTAGTTTTAATTACAAGCTGAAAACAATCAAATTATGCGAGCCTCTGGCGAGCATGATATTATTTTATTCAAAGATTTCAATAAATTTAGTATTGAATATACACGAATTAATGAATAATAGTCTATTTATCAGATCTTCAAAATACGAATGGTTAACATTTAAAAAGAGTCATTTTCACTGTCGTGCCAATTGTGTAACGCTTACATTAGCACACTCTAATGTAACGAACATGACGTCACGTCAAAGTGTTACAATGTATTTCACTTGAATAATTTCGTTTTTATCTTTATCACATAAGCTACGGCGTTAGAGCGTAATAAACCCATATTTGTATCTCCAGCAAATGACGTCAAGTCAAAGTGTTATCACCCTTGTAATATAATTTTCATGTAATTGCGTTAAACGACAAATTTTAGGTGTTATAACAATTTGACGTGATGATAATTACATTATTCACAAACATAAAGCGAGCAAATGCTACACTATACAGTACAGACGACTAAATGAAAACATAAGACTTTTTTGTAAACTGTGCTTATTCCGACTATTTGATAAATAAAATATTATATTCATGTGGATTCTTTGCTATATTAATTGAAAAAATTATAAGTTTATACTCATTCAAAACCCCTATTAATATCTCTTTCATTTGCGTATCATTTTGTAAAGATTACATATGATTCTATTTCAGATCAGATTGTGACACCGACTGTGGCATTCAAGGCAAGACTAAACGTTGACATTGCCGCTCCTAGAGGTCGAGTTATTGTGTTTCCTGTAGTACTCTTCAATGAAGGAGATGCTTACAGCAGTCAGACAGGGAAATTTACGGCCACATCAAACGGAACATATCTTTTTACTATAGGATTTTGCGTGAAGTTTCAAAAAACATTGTACGTGGATATAATGGTTGATGGTGTAGCATTCACTAAGGCAACTTTTTATGGCGACGCAAATCACGAATGTTTAACAGCTGATGCTGTCGCTGTGTTAAAAACTGGTCAGAGCGTGTGGGTGCAGCCATCTGATAGTAATTCTGGTATTATAATTCACCAAGGTGCAACCAGATGGAACACATTTTCTGGAGTTTTGCTCCATAAATAAATATTTCCTACAAAGGATTTCATACGAGTTGCTATACAATTATTAAATATTATCAAACACGTTGACGAAACGAATGAAAAGCGCTACTGTGGATATATGTTAAACATTTCTCATGAATGAGTTTAACGACCTTTGATATAACTAACTTATTATATAAAACACAATGCAACAATGTCTCATTACTTTTTTATCTCACAAATGTTAAATAAAGCATCATAATTATTGACATCATTGTACACAACATGAAGATATATGATTTAAGAATGCATGTATTTCTTCACTGCGGGTACTGCGTCCTCGCCGGCATTTGTAAATTTGAATACATGGCGCAACATATAAAAAGGGCAACTTGGCTTTTATCATTTGCCTTTTTACTTAAAGTTTTGTATGACACGTGTTTACGTGTATTTAAAAGTAAAAATACAACCTCTAATAAAACTACAATGTTGTAAAGATAAGGTAGTAAAAGCAAGGCATTCTCATTTTGTCTCATTTAAGCAAGAACCGTGGTTTTAAAGATAATCGTCATATTAAGTATGTAACAGTTTGTTTGATATGTATTATAAAAGATGAACGGCATATTTAGTATGTAGTAGCTTGTTTTTAAATGTATGTATTTTATGAAAAATAAAGGGCATATTTAGTATGTCACAGTTTGTTTTGTAAGTATGTTTTTTTATGAAATATAAAGGTCATATTTTATGATACTTTCTTTTTTTCTTTCTTAAATTAGAATAACGTTTCATTAAACAATCTCTTCTGATAACTGTACGATTTATAATGTATAAATAACATTTTGTTGTTTGCTGTTCTATTTTTCTATTCAAACTTTACTTTGGTTTTGTATAGGCTATAAACAATGTCATTGTTTTAACATTTTTAATACTGAATAAAATTTTCGTATTCGTATATTTAGTTTTAAATGTATGTTGTTTCCAAATAAAAGGTCATATTTAGTATATAATAGTTTGTTTTTCGTATGTGTGTTTATATCAAAGATTAAAGTCAAACTCAAAGGTCATATTTGGTAAAACATTTAGCTTAATTTGTACTTATAGACCCATTACCGGGCTTAACAAGCCGTTTCTTCAATTCATAATATATCTAAATATAATATGCCAAAATAGCACGTAAGATCCGTCCTGTCTTTAAAAATGTCTAACCTATGTTATAGCTGTCTTATTGTACATGCCATAACATTACAGAAAAGAAATAAATCAACAACAACTTAACACATTTAAAATGAGGTCAGTCTTTTCATAACAACTCTATGCCCAATGAAATCCATATATACCATCAGAGTAAATCCCGTAACTCTTAGAGCAATAGTAGCATATACTTAATTGTCGTTACAAACTAAGGCAAATATCTACTGCACTAAGAACCAACGCTACTGCATACATGTATTTCGCCTTTTTTTCTTCTATTCACATAAAGCAGACCTCAACAAAATCTCAGATTTGATTTTCTAATCTTTACATTCACTGACTGTTCTGTGACCAAATGCACTTTGTTTTTCGGTCAAATAATCCCGCAGCAGCTTTGTTAAGACGAAATTGTACCTGTTTTAATATGTTCGATGTGGTACGACTAGTTCTAAAAATATCAAGCTAACCTTGAAAGTATTCCAAGCTTAAAGTTACATTAAATAAATTTCATCAAAAAAGAAATAGCGACATTCCATTTATAAATTGGGTTTCATATCATTCATTTTGGTGTCCAGGCAACCAAAATGAGTTTAATGAGCATACAAATGTGCAACCTCATTGTAGCGAATTCGGAAGTACAATTTCTGTTTGCATGAGAAACTCCGCCTTCAGATCATCCGTACATCAATATTAAATCAACAAACATGACTAAAAGTAGCAGTCCTTATTTAACGGTATATTTCCGCATTGAAACGGATATTTTCATACAAATTTAATCTTTTTTATGAGATGATTATTTTTTCTGAACCACAGGCCTAGTGCACCGTGAAGCTTAAACGGTAAAAGTGTGTTTGCACTAGAAAATCTTATGTTTGCTGTGTTCCGGATAGCAACTATAACTCCGTGACGTAGCGCATACACCAGCTGAATATAGTCTTCATTTGCATGTTAAAATTCGTATAAAAACTTTAGTGTTACCGTGGGGTTTTCCATTTAAAATCCTAATTTATGAACAATATTTGATGAGATTTACAACGATACTGTTAAAAAGGTTAATGAAACTGTAGAATGCTTGGTTTTTAGGCCGACGGCAAAAATATGTTAACATATTTATTTAATGTAACTTTAAACGAAATGAGAAAGAAACACTTGGATGGTGTTTTAAATATAACGCGGATGATAATATGTTTATATATATTTAGAAGTGTAATCAAAAACGCTTATTCAAATGCGCTATAGCTTTCGGCCTTCTTCAGCAGCATTTATGAAACATATGAATATATCAAACAAAACAATGGAAGTGACTTAACGCCATTGAGCAACGTCCACCTTGGCGTTGCTTGCAGTCTGTCGTGTTATTCTTTAGTATTTATTTTAATCTATTTTTCAGCAATTTTCCCGCAAGTTCTTCGGTATTGGTCATTCCCGTATACTTTTCTAGCCCAATTATTGAAAAATCAATGGCTGTGTGCCCGTTTGTGTAAAATTGTGCCGCTAACGGATCGTAGTACTTGGTCAGTTTTCTTGATAAATTAAAAAGATGTCTTTGGTACAGCTTACATCCTGTTTACCATAATAAATGTGACGTTCGCTACGCTTACAATAAACTGCATACACCACATTAGTAGATTTACATGTGATCTGATTGCATGCCTATTACGAGACCCCATTCATACCAATAAATGTGTCTACTGATGAAAAAATTGTTTGCTGTGGGATTTGTTATGAACAAGAATATCCTGTATGTAATAATCTCTTCTAAATGCCGTAATTGGATGATTTGGGAATTTCTTGCATTTTGCCTGAGGTGTGTAATTCAAGTAGGTGTTTTCGTTCTATTTGTCCTATAGAATGAAGATATAATGTACAATGAAATAAACAACAACCACAACAACAACACCACACTAAAAATCATAAATTTCAAATAATAAAACATTTGTCGAAAATATAACAGGCTAAGGTCAAAACACTTTTCTTTTTTCTATCTAACTTTAATAAGTTGACCCAGTCCCCGCCCCTTTACAAGACATTAGCGACTTTTGAATATTTTTTCTGGTCGAAGAAAAGTTTCCTCATATGCAATATTTCATGCAGGAGCTAGCAAACAGAACTGCCGACCTTCTAGAGCATACATGACATGAACAGAAGTAAGCTTATGTGTGTATAGAACAAAGTCAAAACTATTAAAACTGCATACCTGCATAAGCTAAAATATTTAAAAAAAAAACAACTTTAAGAAAAAAACTTGATACAAAGCTTTAGACAAGCACACAAATTCAAGATTCAAATAATAATCTATTTGGTTTGTGGTATTAATGACAGTTATTGCAGTATTTATCATCATATTTTTACTGCGTGACTAACGCAGTCAAGGCCATTTTGCATAATTGTACATATTTTGTGGTAATATACGTGATTTGTAAGTGCATTTTGCAATGTACAATGTCTAATATACATTTTTGTACACTTTACAATATTTTACTTTTAAATACATTTTAAATTTCTAATTAGATTAGCATGAAACTGGAGATATGCTGCTTTTAGTTTGAAAACGTAAAACCCTAGTATTGACAACACTCTTGTGATTTAGTGGCCTAATCTAAGTATACAAGGTTTGTTTATTAATGGAATGATATATGATTTTGACAGGTTATATGGCCCTATATAAACAGTTATTTGTAAATATATCATATTGCAATTTACCGTTTATAAACGTCCAATTAACCCGTCAGAAAAGCTTATAATTAATTTATAATACAGCAAGTATCTTTTTTAGAAAACAAATCTTCATAAATTGATAGCATCCGTGTTTATAAATAAACTTGCTTTTAAACTATTTCCAAAAGAAAAAAAATCACATTTACCATCATATATAAAAAAGTGCCAATTAGAGTTAAAATCTTAAAAGAAATTTGTCACCAAGGTTATCTTTTAGTGTTATTTTTTTGTTATTGTTTTGGGTTTCTCTCTATCTTTGTTGTTATTTTTTGTTATCTTTAATGCTTTAAAACCAAGGTTCAAGAGTTTAACTGTACCTGCTTTCATTTTGTAATTGTTAGACAAAGCAGACATATGGAAAATGGGCCGTGAGAAACGCTGTTATCATGTCTTAACTGATCTGTTTCAGGATACCGGTATTTGGTGCTTAAAATAAAAGTAAACAATGTGTTGAAGGTCGTTATCATCCGTGAGAAATTCATTAAATATTTCGCATGGTTTACACAACATTAAATCTGTTATTGAGAGCAGGTTACCATAATTTGGAGGGTAGTTTAAAAAGTAAGTAACCTTAGAAACTAACCTTTCCCCTGCCCTTTCCGTCTGGAAGGCAACTATTATGATTATTGGCAATCAAGGATGCGTTTCGTTAGTTATACGTAGATAATATCAACTGGTCAAACTTCGATGCTTTATGTTTCTAAGATAATCTCGGATTTCAAGTGAGACACATGCTGAATTTCTGAAAAAAAAAATAAAAAGATGTTATGTCTGAAGAACTGTCATTTCGCGGCCGTATGTAGTCGAGTGGTTTAAGTCGTTGGCTTCAAACCACCTGTACCTAGCCGTTGTGGGTTTTGGTCCAAACAGGATTTCTTATTCCTTCATGTGAGGAATATCTATCTAGCTAAGACATGGAATGTCGTTAGGTTTACTACGGTGACCTTTTTGCCTGTATGCACGGAAAGGCATATGAGGTCTTCCTCCACCAGTAAAGCTGGTAAGAAACCTTCATCTCATTTGAAGTCTTTATAAATATCATTCCTTTCATCCACTCTCCATGAATATCGTTTATTCCATGCAGTCCCCGTCTATTTCATTTCGCCCATGACATGATGTCTTTATGAATTCTGTTATGTCTTTGACGCCTTAATAAATATAACTTTGCTCTCGAAGTTTTGCATGACGAAAATCTCCAACATTTTCGTGAATGTCGTTTTTATTATTCTCTGCTTTATCCTTGTATATGTAACAATATTCATTTACAAATTTGAATTTATGCAGTAACTATTACGAAAATCCAAGATATATTGAGTTAGGAATAAATGTTTTAAACTGAAAACCAATGTACTGTATATTTAAACTGCATGCCTTTATCCAAATTCATGCCGAATAAAAAGAAACTTAAAAGGTGGTCTGAAAATAAGTGCAGTTTGTAGCCTATGCCTGATGAAGTTACTATTTATAGATATCTTCTATATAAGTGCCTTGAATCTTTGCTTAAAGCCCATTTGCCTTATTGTCCCCCGCCTTTTTGAAGAAAAAAGGGGGATATAGTAATAGGCTCCGTCTGTCTGCCCGTCTGTCTGTCCGTCCGTCCGTCACACTTTCGTGTCCGGTCCATAACTTTGTCATTTATCAAAGAGATCTGAAAGAACTTGGCACAAATGTTTGTTATGATAAGACGATGTGTCAAGCGCATAAACCAGACCCGTACCTCTAAGGTCAAGGTCGTACTTGCTCATTCAAGGTCAACATTGTCTATTTGAGGATATATGTGGTGTCCGGTCCATAACGTTCTTATTTTTGAAGGGATTGTGTAAATTCTTGCCACAATTGTTCACAATAATGAGACGATGTGTCCTGCGCAACAACCGGTCACATACCTTCAAGGTCAAAGTCACACTTGGAGGTCAAAGATTCACATAGTCTATTGCGGGGTATATTTTGTGTCCGGTCCATAACTTTTTCATTTATCAAAGGAATCTGAAATAACTTAGCACACATTTTTGTTATAATAAGACGATGTGTCATTTGCATAAACCAGATCCCTACCTCCAGGGTCAAGGTCGCACTTGCTCATTCAAGGTCAACATTGTTTATTTGATGGTATATGTCGTGTCCGGTCCATTACTTTCTATCTTGATGGGATTTTGTAAATACTTGCCACAATTTTTAACAATAATGAGACGATGTGTCATGCGCAACAACCGGTCACCTACCTCCAAGGTCAAGGTCACACTTGGAGGTCAAAGATTAACATAGTCTTCTACAGAGTATATTTTGTGTCTAGTCCATAACTTTTTCATAGATCGAGGATTTTGTAAATACTTGCCACAAATAGTCACTATAATAAGACAATGTGTCGTTCGCAAACCTGCATCCCTACCTCCAAGTTCAAGGTCACACTTAGAGGTAAAAAGTTAACATAGTCTATTTTAGGGTATGTTTTGTGTCTGATTTAGAACTTCTTCAGAATTTTGAAATAACTAGGTACAAATAGTCACAATGATAAGATGATATGTCATGCATAAAACATGTGTCCCTACCTCCAAGGTCACACATAGAGGTCAAAGATTTACATATTCTGTTGAAGGGTATATTTTGAGTCCAGTCCATAACATGGGATTTTAAAAATACCTGCACAAATAATCACAATAATAAGATGATATGTCAGGCGCAAAACATTGGTCCCTACCTCCAAGGTCACACTTAAAGGTCAAAGATTGACATAGTCTGTTATAGGGTATATTTAATGTCTGATCTATAACTTCTAGATAGTTAAAAGGATTTTGAAAATACTTGGCACAAATAGTAATATTAATAAGATGATATGCCATGCACAACACCTGCACCCCTACCTCCAAAGTCAAGGTCCCACTTAGAGGTCAAAGGTTACATGATAGAAGTTTCCAAAATCATACTAATTTACTACATACAAGTTCTATCTTTTGTACCTTTTGTGCTACTAGCAATTGGTATAGTTAAAATGAATATGTATTTTGTATGGACTTTGTTTATATTTTCCTACCTTAACGATACATACATACCTTTACGTTCAAAACTAAAATTCAACTGTTCAATATCTTAAATGCTCTTAATCCATTATTAAAACATTATTAAACTTAATTTTGTCATATATAAAGAATTAAGAAAATATTGATTTCCGAGGCATAATATGCCAAATGTAAAGTAGTTAATGGAGTGTGAATAACTATAAATTTCTCAACAGTTTTAAATGCTTTTCCTCATAACTATGTTCCTATTTAACATTATTTGCTTATTTTTAGAACTACAAATTTTATATGAAAAGCACCTATGGACAAATAAGCTATGATTGTACTTTTTAAACTTCCCTCATGGTGTTAAATTTGTGGTACATAAGACTGATGTTTCCTGTGCCTCCCCCATACTAGAGCATCTTCCTTTTAATTTAAACTACTTCGCATTGGATGAAAAAGAGGCAAAATTTTCGTATAGCATTAAATCAACACAGGACAAGTTCAGTGAAAAAATGGAAGCACTACAAAACAAAACAGTGGAAAGTGTTGACCGAAAACTGAAAGAAATTGATGAAAAAGAGGCAAAAAGTTCGTACACCATTAAAACATCAAAGGAGAAGTTAAGTGAGAAAATCGAAGCACTACAAAACAAAACGACAGAGGTTATTGACACAAAATTAAAGGAACTGCAAATTCTAAAAGGTAAATCTAATCAGTCATATAAATTTTAGTTTATTCACATTATTGTTCAGGGAAGAACAAATGCTATGTAGTTCGTAGTTTATGTTTTACCTAATTGAAGTATTCAAAACATTATTAATGTTCATATTTCAATAACTGTCTTCTCAAAAACGATATAACCTGTCAATCTTTGTAATTGTCTTTGTTTTTTAAATTTTTATTTCTTTAAGTTTATATCTTTATTTTTATTTGAATATTGTTTTTGTTATTTGTTATATTTGCTACTGGTATTAGGTTACAAGGTACAGTGTACTAAGCAGAGTAACCTGTATAAGACAACAAATCAATATTTTAAATAAAAAGAAATGTTTGATTTATACTTGCAGGCTGATATAGACCTAGATGAAAATATGTACGCGAATGAAGATTTTAATATAAATGATCAAAAAGGATAAAAACTATTGGTTTAAAAAAGAAAAATACAAATACGTGAAGTCGGCTCCTTACATTCCTTTATTTTTTTTTCTTTCTTTTTTTTAGGGGGTGAGTGTTGCACAGAATAGGGTCAAATGACGATTTTTCTAAAGATTTGCGGAAGGCTTTGTGCATTATTTCAGCGTTAGACTATCTAAATGTGTAAATGGAAAAATACAAGAAGCTTGCACAATATTATTTTATCAACTCGTTTAATAAATTAAGTTTTTAATCTAAACTTCAACGCGTGTCTAATTGACCATTTGTATAATATGATATTTTGCGATCAATTATCTATCAATTTAATAAAAGAAAATACATTATGTATTCGCATTCAAAATGATCCATGTAGAACGACACGTCCGTAAATAGAAAATACACTCACGTTTCTTGTACATAGCATGGTGGTTGTCGTATTTAGTGTTAATTCTTTCTTTGTTGATTTTCGTTTATGAAAACTATTAAACCTTCCAAGAATGAGCTGCTTAGAATGCTCTTAATCCGTCGGAGTATCCGTGCCGGCGTCTTGGTTAGTAAATCTTAATTGTAGCTGCACTATGTTTAATTTATTAATAGAAGTGCAAAGCATTACCGTAATTATGATGTTTTTATCAACCTAACAGGTAATATACGCGAATAAATCTTGTAGAGGTCAACCTTAGGACACCTTTGTAATATCGTTAAGCGTAAACTGCGTGCTTTTTTAGTCGCTTTTCCTTATTTCAGGGAACTTAGATGGGCTGTTCAACATAATTATTATCCACCACATTATCTAATAAGATACATAAATACTTGTACCGATAAGGACAATGTGACCTGCTATCTGCTATAATTGTCGCATCGAGTTGAAAATTAAGTTCATTTATGACATGATTTCTTTTTGCGGTTTTTGTTTAAAGACCATGTAAACCCGCTCCATTATGCTTGTTCCCGTTTATTAATTTGAACATAATTTTGTTTTACATACAACCAATATATGAAATTAGAAACATAGCTGGTTATTTCTATTTTAACCAATATGTGATAAAATAAAGGTAGCTAATTAGCAATTCGACGAAGTGTACACTCATTCAATATTCTATATTTATGTCTGTTTCATAGACATATTATTTTGTACAATATGATAAACAAGATCAACAAGGAAAGGCGGCGTTCAATAAAACTTACTTGTAATCCTATTTCAGATCAGATTGTGACACCAACCGTGGCATTCAAGGCAAGGATAAAGGATGACACTGCCGCTCCTAAAGGTCAAGTTATAGTGTTTCCTGTAGTACTCTTCAATGAAGGAGATGCCTACAGTAGTGAGACAGGGAAATTCACGGCCACAACAAACGGAACCTATCTTTTTACTATAGCATTTTGTGTGCAGGCAAAGAAATGGTTGAACGTGGATGTATTGGTTGATGCTGTAGCTCACACTAAGACAACCTTTTATGGTGACTCAAATAACAGCTGTGCTACCGCTGACACTATAGTTGTATTAAAAGCCGGACAAAGCGTGTGGGTTCAACCATCAGGTAGTAACTCTGGTAATATAATAGACCATGATTCTATCAGATGGAACACATTTTCTGGAGTTTTGCTTCATAAATAAACACATTATTTCGTGCACAGGATTTCAACCAAGTTGCAATATAACTATTAATTATCATCAAAAATGTTGATGAAACAAAAGAAAAATGATTTTGTGGATAACTATTAAACCTTTTTCATTCATGAACTAGACATTTGATATTACTTACTTGGTATAGTTATGTAAACACAATGTCACAATATCTCAATTCTTAGTTATCTCACTCCAAATGTTAAATATAGCATCAGATTTATTAGCATCATTGTATACATGTATTTGGACGAGTAACCATGCAGCCGGATAGATAAGAACTCACAACGGTTCGTAGCCAGAGCTTAAATGACAATAGTATATAAAACTTGGCTTTTAGCAACATGTGAAATTTTGCATGAAAAGTATCGATGTGCAAACAAAATCAAATTCTCTTGATTGAATATATGTTTACGAACGCATGTATCTTATCACTGTGGGTAATGTGTCCTCGCCGATATCGGGATAATGCCAGCATTCATAAATTTGAATGCAAGGCGCTACCTATAAATAGGGCAGATTTGCCTCCATCCTTTCCCTTTTTACTTAAAGTTTTATATTCGTGTAAACGTGTATTTTAAAGTTAAAATACAAACGTTGTTGTAGTAAACCGTTGTTATAGTACAATGTTGTTAAGATAAGGTAGTCACAGCATGCCCAAAATTTCTCATTTATGCAAGTTCTAGAGATAAATGTCATATTTAGTATGTAATAGTTTGTTTTATATGTAGTTTTTTTTATAAAAGATAATGGTCATACTTAGTATATAATTATTTGTTTCAAATGTCCTTTTTTAAGATAACGGTCAAATTTAGTAAATAACATTTTGTTTGATATGCATGTTTTTTTATCAAAGATAATGGTCGTATTTAGTATTTAACAGTTTGTTTTATATGACTTTGGATTGTACGTTTTTATGAAAGATAAATGGCATATTTAGTATGTAGTAGTTTGGTTTAAAATGGATATTATTTTATGAAAGATAAAGGTCATATTTTATGATACTTTTTTCCTTCTTAACCCTTTACCGCATGAGCATATTGTGATAAATAGCCGTTTTCATTGAAAAGCCTCTTGTTACAAGTTCAAACTGCTATAAAACTATGAAAAATGCTTCAATACTGAAGAAACTTGGCACAAATGTTGTCTGGACCATAGCCTCTGTAACAGCATACTCAATTGTAAATTTCCTCTTACCATTGCAACGGGGGACATATCAAAATGGCCAAAAACACTATTTTGTATTGTTTTTCTCCATCAAAACTGTTTTCAAAGTGCTGCAACTTCTCAATGGATTGAGGTGTAGTAAAAGGCGCTTCAGCATTGGTTACACGTTACCTTACAATCGACATGTCAAATGTCAAAATTTTCTTAGCGATGAGGGGGGGGGGGGCGGCAACCCCCGAAACAGAAGGGGGCACACGCCCCTTCTGACAACCCCCTGAGGTACCTTTTTGATAAAGAGGTCGCCGAAAAGTCATCACTTTTTTAAACAACATTTCCCAAACAAAAAAAGTATTTTAGGCATTAATAGGGTAATTTTTCACTGTTTGAGGCCTTAAAAAGGGAGGAGGGTTGAAAAGCCTTCAAAACACGTCTGTATCAGGTAGAGGGTTAAATTAGACTAACGTTTCATTAAATAATCACTTCTGATAACTGTACGATTTATAATGTAAAAATGGTATTTTGTTATTTGCTTTTCATTTTTCTATGTTTTTATTCACACTGTACTTTGGATTTGTAAAGGCTATATTCATTGTTTTAACATGTTTAATGCTGAATAAAACTTTTTATTCTTATTCGTATATTTAGTTTCAAATGTATGTTGTTTCCAAAAATAAAAGGTCATATTTAGTATATAATAGTTTGTTGTCGTATGTGCGTTTATATCAAAGATTCAATAAAAAACCAAGGCCATATTTGGTAAAACATTTAGATTTATTTGTACTTATTGACCCATTACCGGGCATAAAAAGCAGTTTTATCAATTCATAATGTATTCAAATATAACGTGCCGAAAAATAGGACGTAAGATCCGTCCTATCTTTTAAAATGTCTAACCTATGGTATAGCTGTCTTATTACACATGCCCTAACATAAGGCAATGAAAATAAAGCAACAACAAAAACTTCACACATTTAAAATGATATAAGTCTTTTCATAACAACTCTATGAAGATCAGAGTTAACTCCCTTATCTCTAAGAACAGTAGTAGCAAATACTGTACTGGCGTTACAAACGTTGGCAAATATTTACTGCACAAAGCATTAACGTTGCTGCATATTTAGTTTTTTTTTCTATTCACATATAGCAGACCTCAACGAAATCTCAGATCTGATTTTCTTATATATACATTCACTTTTGTTAGTCAAATATTTTCGGAACTGCCAGGTTTAGTTGAAATTGGTCCTGACGTGATACGACTAGTGCTAGCAGACGACTCTGAATTTGTTAACTTAATTTGTCAGTATTCCAAGCTCGAATGAAATGAGAAAAACAAACATAGAATAACGGATGGTTGATATACATGTATTTCTATATATATAAATGTAGATATTATGTACAGCAAAAGTAATAACAACCCTACAAGACAACAAAAGTCATTCCATAACTTGGCTGAAATGTTAAATTGTCAAATCACAAATGGTTTGAAAATAAAACAAGCTTGACTCAAAAATCTTTTCTTTTTCTTTTCTAACTTGAAGTTTTCTTATATGCAACGTTTTATCCAGGAGCTAGAAAACAGAACCACCGACCTTCAAGAGTATATAAGACATGAAATGAGAATCAAGATTGAAGTAATAATTTACATGTTTTGTGCGGATAATGACAGATTTTTACAGTATTTTTCAACATATTTTACTGCGTGATAAACACAGTGAAGGCTATTTTTGCTTATTGTACATATTTTTTGGTAACTTACGTGGATTGTAAGGGCGGTTTGCAATGTACAATGTGTAAATTACATTTTTTGTTCGCTTCACAATATTTTATTTATAAATACAATACATAAAAATAACGTCTGGAAGCATGCTGCTTTAAGTTTAAAAATAAAAATCCGTATTGACAGCACATATTTTTACCTTGTGATCTAATTGAAGTATAACATGTTTGTACATTATCGCATTTATGTAATGCATACATTTTTGTACTTCGCTATCCGCTACAGCAGAAAGGAGGCACCCGTGTCTTACTGACACATTTCTTTTTGTCTTAAATAATTTTTGAACTTATATTAATGTATAAATGCATGTGCAACAATAATTGGTATTTACCGAAAATTCCAAGTCAAAAGTCGAAGGATATTTGTCACCAGTTGTCATTTCTGTGTAGTAAAGGGGAAATAAGTGTTGTAAGATGGCAGCACAAAGCAGTTCGATTAACAACCCTTTGTAAGATATCATTCAATTTTGCCATATTCATAAGTTAGTTGAGTTTTTTTCTTTCGGGGCAGTGCATGATACAGTTGCTTCCCCTTTCCTAAGGGAACCTGGGTTCTTTACATTTTCGGTGCAGAACATTTTTTTATCGATTCCTCATGGCCAAACTGGGCATACGAGAAAACAACCCTATAACGAAACATTTAGTAAAGTGAAACCATGGCAATGCAATGAGCATATGTACATAAGACAAAAAATACTGTAATAGAATTAATACAATTGCATTTAGAATGGAAGAATGCCATGAATGTGATCGTTATATATTATCAAGAATATAAACAATGATAGTATATTACATAGGAGACCTGAGAGAAATTTCAGTAAGGTGCCACTGCTTTATAATTTTATATCAGTAAAATCAATAAAATATTAAAGAAATAAGCTCATAAACTTTTGTTAATGGTATACGATATTAAATATTAAAACTGTAGACATTAGTGTCTGTCAATCATATAAGCGAGGACGATACATCTTTTTTATACAAATCATTATTTTCTTGGAAAATAATAGCTAGAAAATAAACATCTCTTTTATATGAAGCTTTAGTACATAATGCAAAATTAAACTTTGAATGTTATGGTTAACTAGTATGTAATTGATTTGAAGGAAACAATGTTGTTAACATGTACAAATGTTATATACATGTACAAGAATGATTTGTATTTACCGATATAATGCAAGTCGAATAATATTTTATCACCAGTTGTCGTTTCTGTGTAGTGAAGGGGAGGTAACCGCTGTAAGACGGCAAAACAAAACGATTCGATTAACAACCCTTTGTAAGTTATCATTCAAATTTGCCATACTGATGTGTAAGTAGAGTTTTTTTCAAGAGTAGTGAATTATACAGTTGTTGCCCAATTCCAAAAAGGACTAGGGTTTTTTACATGTCCGGTGCAGAACACCAATAGATATATGGGACCTCCGTTTCTAAAAAAACATTTTGTCAGCTAAGTAGCGGGATATCGAACCCGTGCACTCTTGATTATTTGGCCAGTGAAATAACACTGTAGCAGGGATCCGTAACAAACCAAATCATTAGACAAAGATCTCCCATATAATATTTGATATAATGATTTTGTTCACAATTAAAGTCAGGTGTCACTCCTTTATATTTTTTTAAGGCCCATTATACCAGACATGCTTTTTTTCTCAAAAGTTTTATAATTTTGATGTACATTAATAGTATCCAAAAGGTTACTCACTGGCCATTTACCCGAATAATCTTTTTCATCTGTTGCTTTTTACCAATAAGTATTTTGAAAGGAGGAAATAATAGTTCTTTGTTTACATATGCTACTTTAATGGCAATTTACTTACTAATATCATTTTCGCTACTTTATTCAGGTAACAAGCATCTAACATTGTCTTTAACAATGTTTCAAACATTATCAAATTCTTTATAAAGAAGTACATTAATTTGTTTTTTTATTTGCCTTTAAATCTTTGAAAAACAACGGTAAATAAAATCTTAACGAAATAAGAGCATACACTTTTACGATATAACAATGGTGACTTATGTTTCTGTTTCTTGTTAACAGATACGTAAGAAAGGTATAACTTGTTTAAGGTGAAAAAAACCCACAATACATCGACCTCAAAATAAGTCTTTAATTGTTTATCTTCTTTTGTGCTATTTAATATTAATTCTTGTTGGAATAACGATATTTGTAGCAGAAAATTTAGACGTCTATAATTATCTAATCAAAATAAATAGTGAGGAAGTTGCTCTAAACTTCATTTGTTGCTGTATTAACAAAACATTAACAAAACGTCAGTGATAATTGGCATTTGATTCAATTTAAAAAATAACTTATCTTTTGATTGGAAGTTGTTTGCGGCATAATGATACAAATGGAAGTCATCGTCGGCAGATTTTTTTCGCTTTTAATTTATTTTATTGCGGGGAGTTGGTAAGCCCTTAATATAAATCTCTGATGTATTGGGTCTAAACTCAATAAGCATATACATGTAGTTCAGACGAAAATTACAGGTTTCATTTTATGTCTAAAATATAAATGCTTAAAATAGCACGTCATATAAATATCCTTCTGTTGAACGTATAGTTTCAGCTATATGATATCATGATTCACATGCTAGAACTCATTAAATGCAACATTTTATAGCGTTTATTATATAACTCGTTCTTTCTTTCTTTCTTTCTTTCTTGTCCTTTTATTCCTTCTTTTTGTTTTTTTTGTTTGATTGATTTGGTTTAAAGTCACACCGACACAGTATAGATCATATGGCAGGATTTGTAGTAGTAGAAGTTCTATTTCATTATGATTTGTTTGAAAAACTTTCATTTTATCTGAAGGCCTATTTTTTCATTATATATGCGAATATTTCAAAAGACACATCCCCATAATTATGAACGCTGTTGTTCCTTTTGAGTGTGTGTTTGTGTGTGTGGTCTCCGCTGATCTTAGTTGCAGGATTTCAGGTGTTTCCAATTAAGATATACGTCATGTCAGTGAGATATTTGCTAATTATATAGCATGATACTACATATATTACATATTTTGTTATTCTAACATATACCAGTAATTAAGAGCAGATATCTACAATTTTGAGGGAAATTCAACAAATATCATTTTGCTAAACTTTGTAAAAATCATCTTGCTCACGAAGTTCTCACGAATTTGACTTCGCCCGTGTATTATTCGAATTTATAATCCTCTCTATCTTGATCACAATAATCGAAAAATCTCGGACATTTGCGTGAATGTCGTTTTTTGTGCCTTTTCCAGATATAAGTAGCAATATTCATTTACAAATTATTTGCATTGATGCCGGAACTATTACTAAAATCCAAAAACTATTGAGCTAATTATTTATGAAAGTTTATCTGAAAACATATGTACATTTAAAACTGCATGCCTTTATCCACAACCATGCCGAGTTGCAAGAAACTTTAGGAAATATTCTCAAATGTACTTTGTAAGTCAAGACTAATGAAGTAACTTTTCACAGAAATCTTCAGTATAAGTGCTAGAATCGAAATGCTTTTGCTTAATATAAAATGTTATGCAGTAAATGGATTGTTAAATTTGATATGAAAAGCTCTGAACTAATAAGCTATGGGTAGCAGACCACAGTGATGTAAGCCACAGATTCGAATGACCGGGATGATTTCTTGGATATAGTGACTATTCTTGATTTAAATACCTGGTTGTCTTTAAAGTTAAATTTGTATTTGATATCTAATATGATCATTGGCAAATTCGAAAACTTGGTCAGAAATTACATGTTGTTGATTATAGATATGAAGGACACAATTGTTCGTAAATATTGTTTTTAACAACATGCTCGGTAAGAACAAGTTATTTACCAGGGGTACAAACTTTAAGCAATAACAAAACATCTGTAAGGTCAAGTTCCTGTTTTTCTTTGTGATATTGTACATGTATAGGAAGTTGCTTAAGCAGAGACGGTGTTTCTTTAGCCTGTATATTTGCATGTCTTTTTTGCCAGAGGGAAAAAAATGTTTAGTTTTGGGGTCTCGGGCCATAGTAGATGTTGTGCTTTAACGGAATGAATAGCAACTTTTTTGACTGCCTGACTATTACAGATGAGGTAATTTCATTGTAGATTTGCAAATTATTATGTCATATATGTTTTCAACAAAATGTGTTTTCTTTTTCCAGGTTGTATAGTTTGGTATCAGAATTATCATACGTATTGATTGTAGGACAAAGACGCAGGAACTTGAAATTTACTGTGGACTGATAGCTATGACTCTACTTTTTAAACTTCCCTCGTGGTAATAATTTTGTGATAAAAATACGTTTTTTCCTGTGCTTCTCTCATTCTAGGCCCTCTTCCTTTTTATATAAACTTATTTGCATTTGAAGAAACGTTTGTGTCACTTCGGAAATAAAAATGAGAATTTCATTCTGTAAAATTTTCTTTCTGATTTTCCTGATAACATTTGCAAAGTCTGATGAACCGCACTGTTCAAAATATGATTTCGAAGAGAAAGTTTTAGAGAAAATGGTTCGCATGGAATTTCAAATGGAGAGAATGAAATCTGAAATGGAACAAACAGCGAAAAGCGTTGATACAAAAATTAAGGAACTGCAAAATTTAAAAGGTAAAATTTATAGATCATATAAATATTTATTTGAATCAATGTTCAAGCACGAACCAATGCTAAATTATTCATAGCTTATGTCAACAAATATTTAATGCTTTACAATTTGATGAAATAAAGACATTATTAATGTTTTGTGAAATTTCAATAACCTTTTTCTAGGATACTCACATTTTGTGTAAATGTATTTTTCTTCAGTTCGATTTCATGAAGTTTATAGGGCTCTTTGTTTTAAGAGTGTTCTTAAAAATCATGTTTCTGATATTTGATTATACATAATGTACACAGCAGAATAACCTGTGAGACAACATGTTAATATTAAAAAAAAAAGAAACTTACGTTGAGGTTTATTTATGTATACGTGCAGGTCGATTTATACATAGAGACAGATATGTATTCGAATGTAGATTGATAAGTTATGCAAATGGACAAGAGCTATAGGCTATATGAAAAATTACAATTATTTGTCGTCCTCTCCGTTCATCTCATTACCGAAACTTTTTTGTATTGCGCTTTACGTCGCACCAACAAGTGTAGGTATTTTGGTGACTTGACAGCTTTGACCTTAGATGTCATCTTGTGCACTATTTCAGGCACAAACGGGCACCTGAGTAGAACCGCCGACGTTCTGGTAGCTTATTGGATAGCTTCCTCACATCAAAGAATATTTGAAGACGCTGGCGCAATTTGAACATTCAATTGTGAGATGCAATTGGTTTGAAGTCAACGACCTTAACCCCTGGGCCGCGATTGTCTCTTTGCCTAAAAAGACTAAGTGTCAATGAAAGACTAGATCTAATGCTGTGTATAATTGTTGCTTTACAAGATGTGTAAATGAAAACAATAGCAGAGGCTCGCATAATATGATTTCTTTCGACTCTTTCAATACATGTAGTATTAAAATTATACTTCAACAAATATCTAATTGGCCATTTTATAAAATATTTATTTTTGCGAGTAACTTCATCAATAAGTCTAGCAAATGGTTATTTTAGCACTATACATAATAACCTATATATTAACATTCAGAACTAACAATTGGAATGCCTAAATAGATAATAACTTACGTTCCTCGTACACGGCACGGTAGATGTCGTACTTTGTACAAATGCGTTCTTTGTTGATTGTTTTGAAAAATATTAAACATTCCAAGAATTAATTGTACAGAATGTTCTCAAACCGACGAAATTATGCTTTCCGACGTTTTGGTTAGTTAAGATTCGTTGTTAGATCTGACCTATGTTTTATTTATTGATATAAATGCAAAACATTGGCGTAATCAAGTCTTTAGGCAATTTATGCGAATACAGCTTGTAAATAAAAACACGAGTGGTCAATCTTAATATTGGACTCGTAAAGTTTGTGCCCGGTCGCTATTTTCTTTTTTTCAAAAGACCTTAAGGTGTGTTTTTCATCATCATGATTATGTAGACGCCAGTTTAGCAACAGTATCTTGAAGGGTGACCTTGTAAACCCGGTCCGTTATGCGTGTTCACGTTTATAAATTTCGACACAGTTTTGTATTACATAAATTAGAGGCAAAACTCTTTATTTATATTAAATCCAGATGTGATAAAATGTAGGTGGCCAATGAGCAGTTCGACGAAGTGTGCACTCATTCAATATCCTCTATGTATGTATATTATATTACAACCTTTCTTATTATTTTAGATCAAAGTGTGACACCAACCGTGGCATTCAAGGCAAGGGTAAATGCTAACACTGCTGCTCCTAAAGGTCAGGTGATAGTGTTTCCTGTAGTACTCTTCAATGAAGGAGATGCCTACAGCAGTAAGACTGGAAAATTTATGGCCACAACAAACGGAACATATCTATTTACTATTGGATTATGTATGAAACATGAAAAACTTTTGCACGTGGCTATATTGATTGATGGTGTAGCATACACTAAGACAAATATATATGGCGACCTTTATGACGACTGCGTTACAGCTGACGCTATCGCTGTGTTAAAGTCCGGACAGAGCGTGTGGGTTCAGCCGTCTGGTAGTGTCTCTGGTAATATAATACAGCACGATTCATCATACTGGAGCACTTTTTCTGGCACTTTACTCCATAAATGAACACTGCATAAGATTTCACATGAGTAATTATTAAATATTATTATCAAATATGTTGATAACATAAATGACAAGCAATACTGTGGATAACTTTTTAACAATTTTCATGAACGAATTGAACGACATTTGATATTATAGTACAAAAGTATATGAAAACACAATGCCACAATATTCCATTGCTTTGTTATCTCACTAGCGTTAAGTATAATATCAGAATATTTTACATCATTCTGCACAACATGGAGATATATTTGTTCGAGTACCCAGCGTGATAGTCTTCAGAACTCTAAATATGCATCAACAAAGTTAATGACATTAGCCAAATGGCCTTAACTTGCATGTGACTTTATCAGTGAGAATATCGATTTTCGGACAGAAATCAAATCATTTTGCTTACATATATGTTTTGAAAGTACATGGATTTTATCTTAGATAAAAGGCAAATTGAACACTAGAAAAATGCTTCCCGCAGGTACTGCGACCTCACCGATATCACAGTATCCAAATATGTTAACACATTTATATATTATTGTAAAATAAGTCATTTATTTTGGCTGGGCTATAATATTGATGGATTAAATAACAGATCATTTGAATATCAAATTCACCAGTCATCTTGTCAATCAAATTATTTTCTTTTAATCCGACTGAATATGAACTTTTTATTGTCATTATTTTCGTGCTATCCACGTTCTATGTTGTTTCCTAAAGGACACATTACTGGCCATACGCCGAATTTCTGTTTGCTTATCTTTAGACTGCAAATTTTATATGAAAAGCACTTATAAACTAATTTGCTATTAATGTACTTTTTAAACTTCCCTCGTGGTAATGAATGCATGTGTGGTAAATGGGACTGATTGTCGCTGTGCTTCCCTAAATATTAGGCCCTCTTGTTGTTTTTTTTTATTTTTAAACTACCTTTCTCGCATAGGAAGATACATTTGTGGTATTTTGGAAATAAAAATGAGAATTTCATTGTGTAAAAATTCCCTTTTCAATTACTTACTAACATGTGCAAAGTCAGAGGAGCGGCACTGTTCAAAATATGGTTTGGAAACGAAAGTTTGAGAGAAAATAGTCGCGTGGAATTTCAAATGAAGAGAATGAAATCTGAAATGGACAGTAAAAAGCATTGAAACAAGAAGTAAGAAACTGCAAATTTTAAAAGGTTAATTTAAAGTTATAAGTCATATAAATTAAGTTTATTTCAATCAATTTTCAAGCACGAACCAATGCCAACAAGTTCATAGTTTATGTCAACAAATTTTAAATTCTTTTTCTAAGACCATTTGATAAATAGAAGTATTTTAAACATTATTAATGATTTTTGAAATTTCAATAACCTCCTTCACGGATACGATCTATGAGTTTTCTGGTTTTGTGTAAATGTTCTTTTTCACTATCATTTTATGGACTTTAAAGGTCTTTCTTCTGTTCAAATAGTGTTCTAAAAATCAAGTATTTTTTCCTATCATTTTGTTATACATATGGTACAAAGTAGAATAACATGTAAGACAACATTTAAAAACATTAAAACAATCAAACAAAAGCAAAAATAAAATAAAAAAAAAACAACAACAAAAAAACGATATTACGTTGATGTTGATTTATATATACGTGATGTAATCAAAAATGATATTAAGAACTATGGCACAAATGGGCCCCTCAGTTGAACCACCGACGTTCTGTAAGATTTTCAACTCGTTCAATATATTTAGTATTTAATCTATACTTCAACGAATTTCTAGTATGCAATTTTATGAAATGTAATATTTTACAAGCTACTCAATAAAAATATGTCAAGAAATAATTATTTTAGTATTGTACACAAATATCTATATATTTACATTCACGATAAACAAAAGCACATGCGTAAGTAAATTATATACACCTACGTTTCGTGTACACTGTATAGTAGTTGTCGTATTTAATACAAATGTGTTCTTTGTTGATTCTTTTTTTATATTAAATATACCAAGAATGAGCTGCACAGAATGTTCTCAAACCGATGGAATCATGATTTCCGGGCCTCCGGCGTTATGTTAGTTAAGCGTTGTTGTAAAGATGCTTATGCTTTATTTATTGATATAAGTGCGAAACGTTGACGTATGCATATTTTTACCAGCCTATAGGTAATTTATGCGATTAAATCTTAAAATAAAATTGAGTGGTCAATCTTAATATTTGACTCGGACCCGTTAAGCGTAGTGTATGCCCGGTCACATTTCCCTTATTTCAGGTACCTTAGGGCGTGTTATTTATCATAATTAATATTATGTAGTCGCTTTTACAAAAACAGTATCTTCAAAATAAAAAACCTTATTAAATAGATACTTGTACCAATTTGGACAAGGAGCCTTGCTGTAATTGTCGCATACACAGTATTGAAACAAAATCATATACGACATTGATTCATTTTGAAGTTTTTGTTTTAAAGGTGACTGTAAATCTTCTCCGTTATGCTTGTTTGTTTCAATTGATAAATTTCAGCGAAGTTTTGTTTAACATTCGAGCAATAAATGAAATTTTACACACAACTGGTTATTTATATTTTAATCAAGATGTGATAAAATTCAGGTGGCCAATTAAAACAATTCATCGACATTACACTCATTTAGTATTGAAACGCAGTCGGGGTTTGTTTCCCAATTACACATCACTATCCAGGGCGTGAGTTCTTCTCGAACACACATGCAGTTTTTTAACCTACAAGGAAAAGCAGAACACAAAAACCTGAAAATTACACAAATAATTTATTTAGATTTCATATCAAATACAGGTACATTCGTCAATATCCTGGTAAATCCTCGTCTTTACATCACATCTGGAAGGGTTTGAGACAATCCTCATCTAAAGGCTTTAAATTATACAAAAGAATATCCACACCAATGTTAAAGTAGCTAAATATGGCAATATCCAAGTTATATGTGACAATAGACATAAAAATTTTACCAAGGGTGTGATCTCTGGTGCCGAGTTGAATTTTGATACTATCTGATCTACTTTTGGTATTTTTGATGTCATTTGAAGTACTTTCTTGTTTTTTTGATACACATATTTGAAATTTGGATCAGGGGTGTAAGTGGTATATTTTTTTAATGCTGAATTTATTTTTGACATCAGCTGACCTACTTCTGATATTTTTGATATCGCTTGAACTACAGTGAAATGATGGGTAAGGTGAGCCACGTAAAGCCAGCTTGGCCCTTTTGTTGTTAGAAACTTGACATAGCCCTTTGACGTTTCGCCAAATAGACGCTTCGACCCGGTCCGATTGTCCGATATTTCAGGGGCAAGGGAGACTTATATTGATGATTTCCTCGTTTGTTGCTAATGAGATTTCTCTTCCTTGAAAATTGCGTTATGTAAAAATGATTAGCATTGGTCAATATTGTGACATCGACTAATGGTTGATAGCCGTATAATCGGCGTTTACAGTACTGCATGCTTGAAGTAATACAAAGGCACTGTGCACAGGAAAAAAGCGGTCAGAAAGAAGAGAAAAGAAGAAAAAGAGTATAAAAACCGGCCTGAAAGAAGATTAAAGGTAAATGGAAAAAGGGCGGGTTTGGCTGATATATAACCATGTAAAAAACGAAATACGCTGTTCCTCCTCTATAAGTTTCTACAACAGTGCCGGTACCAATGTTGAAAAACACGAAAAAATTAAGAAATAATACATTTATAACTGCATGTTAAAATGTTCGCATTTCTGCTGTCGAACATCTTGAATTATCATACGTTTAATTTCACAATGAGATCGACATCATATGCAATCCAGGTCAGGAGTATAGACTTTCAGAATGACCTGCTGAACTAAAATAAACTTATGCTATATAACAGTGATTGAGTTTAATTTGAAGATTATTGAAATAAAATTATATTCATAAATTTATATTGCTGTAAATGTGTCGGTCTAACAGATTTGTGTCGGTCTGACAAATTTCAAGGGTTTGTTAGACCAAATGTCTGACACTTTTTTCAAACTTTCTGTTACCTCCTTCATGACTGTGTAAATTATAATTATATTGCTGACTTTAAACTACTTGTCACTAATTGCCTAACAGGAACTTCATATGCGTAATTGTGGGAAAGGTTTCCACTTACACATCCGTCACCATTAAATCTAATTAATCATCATATTACATTGTACTTTAATAGCCCTTTATGACTTTAAACAAAAACATTTTCGGCCATTTTAAAGCAACATGCCTCCATATCAGCCAAAATGTTTCAAGAAATCAAATTTGAGAATTTTTAAGAAAAATGTCTGGGTAATAATTTACATTTTAAATGCGATTAAAAGGCTGATCTTGCAGTATTTATCTGAATGTTTCTACTGTGTGACTAATATATTGAAAGTTGTTTTTAGTTTGCACATTTGGACTTTATTGGTATTGCAAGTGCCAGTTGAATGTGTAAATTCCCTTCTAAGTTCATCTTACAATTTTTTAGATTTAAATGTATTTCAAAAATTTCATAAAGCATGAATTTGGAGGCGTGCTGATTTAATGTCAATACTGAAAGTTTGGCATGCTGATAAGAAACGTAAGTCATTGCCGGTATGTTTTCTACATATTGCGAATATTCTTTATTTAAATACAGTAAAACTTCGGTAAGTAGCAGTTGAAGGTACTTGCGTAAAAACTTCGACACATCGGAATTTCAACTGATGAATCGATCTCAATTTGATGACAAAAGTTCGAGCCGTTGACATTTACAAGCAAGTTACAAAAGGCGAAATAAAATGAAAAGGGGGATAACTTAACCAGCATATAGTAAATATATCTCGTGTGATTATCACTGGACACCGGGTCACGGAATTTCTCAAATAAAAGTTGTCCCTACTACACTACGACAATTTAATGTTATCAATTAAAGCATTTTATCACACACCTGAATGCATGTTAAGACTGTTAGACGACACGGCTCCGTAATTAACACCTGTGACACAAGTTGATCGGAAATCACCTTTGCAGTCAGAAAAGTTGTAAAACTGTCTCGAGATCGAAAGAGTCAACAAATCGAAGGACTGTGACGAAATTGTGGTAGATTGTACTTGATTTATTCTATACGGACCACTTAAATACGTAGACACATCGAAAAATTCGACACATAAAGTTTTGACTCATATTAAGAGTTTTTATAAGGAATATATGGGGAAATCGATAGCTGTAAGCGAAGCACTTGATAAAGTCATGAAATGCAAATATATGTTATCTTGTAAATAAATCGTAATGTCGACAACTTTTAAAAGAATTCTCACTCTCTCGAGCTTGCCAACGATTACCATTCATGTCTTAGTTGATTTTCTTGTCTTGTTCATATTTATTATATGGCATGAATTTTATTTTTCAGTCATATAGAATCGGAGTATACCGGGGGTGTTAAAGCTTGACGCCTACAGATTTACGAAACTTTCAAACTAGAGTATCAAATAAATTGATTTCAATTCTTCATATATGCACTTACCAATCTAATGATTTTTAAATGTAATTTTAACAATAAGAGAACAAAAATTAGAAACAGGTAGCAAACAAAAAGGTAGAAACGGGATACAAATAAAAAGAAGAAATGGGGTACCAAACAAAAAGATAGAAACGGGGTATGCATCAAAAAAGTAAAAGGCGGTTGCGATCAAAAAGGTAGAAACGTGGTATGCATCAAAAAGTAGAAAGGAGGTAGCAAACAAAAAGGTAGAAAGGGGTAAAACACAAAAAGTATAAACCGGGTAGAAAACAAAAAGATAGAAACGTGGTATGCATCAAATAAGTAGAAAGGAGGTAGCAATAAAAAAGGTAGAAAAGGGATAGGCATCACAAAAGAAGAAACTTGGTACAAATGTGTCATTAAATTAAAGTAGCAGCCAAGTAACAGCAGTAGTAAAATAGCAGTAGTAGAAGTTATTGAAGAACTCTTTCCGAGTATCCAATAAAGTGACTTTATCTAGTCTGAAGCACTCATCCATACAATAATAATATTTTATATAATACATAAAGTTCAAGGGTTTAACTGTACTTGCTTTCATTTTATTAAAAAACAGACATACGGAAGATGTGCGTGAGAAACGCAGCAATTTATGACATGGCTGATTTATGTTTTAGGATATTTGGTTTTTACAATTAAGATTCCGGTCTACAAAGTCTTAAACACGGTGCATATCCATATCGGTACCCTCTTTGCGAAATCTGCTGAAACGGTACGCTCTTTGCACATGCACAGGCCACTCTCTGCTAAAAACAAATCTGCGATGGATAACCATACAGTAATAATAAGGAAAGAAGGTATGACACGTAGAAAAGATGTATACCACGGAACACTAGAATGTTTTATCTATGTACTGATTTGTCATGTGCCCGTTTTTCATGTACGACAAGTTCACAATAAGCTACAAAAAATCGACATGTCTTGCTTCGCCCATCACCTCGACATATTTTTTGGGCTGAAATGAACATGTGGCTTGATTATATATGAATCATACATATTCAATATGTTCGTTTACATATCATCTTCGGACAAATGGCAGTACATTGTCAAAAATAAATGTAAAATTCATAAAAACACCCTACTTTCGGTTTTGCAGCGG